CATCAATAATTTTTAACTCTCTCGTTCCAGTGCCAGTTTAGACAAAACATTAAGCAGTGTTTAAAGTTTTGAAGAGTGAACCAGTTTTGAGAGCACATTTATGGGTCAGAGATGGCACCATCCTTCTATTGCCACAATATTCTTGGGCACAAGGGACATGGAAGGCCCCTTCACTCTCTCCGGTGTCTTATAACATGAGCTCCAAGACAAGCTGAGCCTGTTTCCAAAGCCTGGGCAGGGGGCTAGAATGACCAACGCGAGGGATTGTTGCAGTTGAGTGGAGAGCTTTTGAACTGACCTTTCATGCAGAATCCATGCCTCCCATAGCACCCTAGTTTTTCAAAGCCTCATGATTCATTAGTCACTTCCTAAATGTCCTTCTCATTCAGGAAATGAAAGGTCATACCAATTAATAAGATCAAGTCAGCTTCTGTTATACATCAGCACACACGTATAACAGAGATGAGACACACAAGCAATGAATAAATCCTGAACTAGGTCTGCACTGTAGCTTGACCTCATTGTAAGGGAAACTATGAATGACAGTTACGTCAGCTAGCTGCTTTAAATATCTCTTGCTGATTTTCAGATTCTTAACCATTTACCGATACATAAGCACTTCATTGTTTTCAGTATAACATAACAATGATCTCATAAACAATTATGACAGTTACACAAATACAACAACGTAGAAAAAAAAAGTGAGCCTACAACAGTCTTGTGGCTCTGCAAAAATAAAAGAAGATTGGAAGAAAAGAGGACAACTACAACAAAAAAGGTCCCCCCCCCTTTTTGGGGGGTGGAGAGTGTGTTTTAAGTAATATATGGATGTATTTTTTTTAAAGGTAGTAATAGAAATTTAGTAGAGGGGCTGAAGACTCTCCTTTCCCTCAGCGGCTGGGGCGCAATGGCGACGGCAGCAAGGTCAGGGCTTCTCCTCTCCCCCTCCGCGCCTGCTTCTGAGTTCCCCCGGCCCCTGGGCCTCCGAATGGCCAGGCATCCCTCTCCTCCTTCTCCTCGGCGTGGCGGCGCTGGCCATGGCTCTGTAAAAATGTTGTCCATTCTCTGCCCTGCCATTTCCACCAGTTCTGAAATGTGCATGATGCATTACTGTACTTGCAGTTTCCAGACCTTCTTCAAAGGGAGACCAGCAGAATCTACATGGGAGTTGACAAGGGCCTGCAACACACTGGCAAAGCTATCTTGCAGATGGTGCTGAAAATAGGCCCTCCTAGAGGTCAAAGCCACCCAGACCTCAAATGGAAAAACTCTACCCAGGAGTCACCCCAGATTAAGATCCTATTTGTGCAGGAGGAGCGCAATATTACCAGGAACCCCCGGTTCCCAGACATGAGAAGCTCCCGCCAAAAGTGCCTCCATCTGATGATTATACCACATGATTTTATATAGATGTTATGTAGAACTGGAGACAGAAAAGAACCTCGCTCCTCTGTGTTGCTGCCTCCATATTTTTCTTAAAACAAAACTGTAATATTCTTCTTCTTTAATATGAGCATTGACCAATTCACTGGGGGATAAATACAAAGCCATGAAATTTGTGTTCTGCACCACTCTGCAAACACTTAAGGAAATTATTTAAATGATTAAAGACAATCAGTATAGACTTCAACCAGAAATTGTACTGAGTGTGAAACACCAAATACATATAGACATTCATCAGCTTGTAGAATTGGTAGGTTTTTTCCTATTTCTCTTTTCTTTTCTTTTTTGGTAAAGTTTATTATCGTTATTAATTCATTTTATAATACATATAAAACAAAGAGAACAATTAGAACAACAGAAAAAAATTAAAAGATGGAAAACAAAACTATAAAATAGGCACATAGAACAAGAAGTTGCATAAGAGTTAAAGTAATAATGTCCAAGTAAAGAGGTTTCTTTCCTATTTCTGATCTCCATGCAAGCAAACATATAAACAGCCACCAATCTTTGAACACCTATTCTATTTCCCTCAATGAAGAAAGTTTTTCATTTTTTTAATCCCTGTTTGGCTGGAAGACATTTGTCAAACAGATTTCTCATCAGACTCATTTGACAGGTTTCATAAATAACAATTTTTCAAAAGCACAAATCGAACTTCTGAAATGGAACGTTTGTATGGGACAGAGAGCCTGGAAGGGAATATGTGCAGGGGAGAGTCCCATTATACACCTTCAGTAATTTCAGAACAAATGCAAAAGCTGGAACACAATTGGAATCACTTTGAAGCATTGCTCCTTGGGCCGTATCACTTGCACAACCCACATTAGCCCCACAGCTGTAGCCCAGTTACCTGGGAGTAAGCCTCACTCAACACAGCAGGATTTACTGCTCAGTGAGTTATGCTGCCTATCTTTCATTTCCAAAGCCAATATACGGTAGTTTTTTCATAGTCTGTAAGTTTCCAAATTATTTTTGTGTACTGTGCATTTTTGGTAACAGTTGTCATTCCTTTGCTCATTCATATTTCTTTTCTGTGATCTAGAGAGCTTCTGTGATCTCAATGAGGCCTCCCAAAGCCGTGGCGCTGGTGAGTCAGTCTGGGCACCGCCCCCTGGGCCAGGTGGAATTAGCCCGAGGAGGGAGTGGCCTTCCCCAGCTCACGGTGCAGCAACAGCAGCGGTGTCCCAGTGCCTCAGTGAGGCCTCTTCCAGCTGTGGCGGCCGCTCCCTCCTCGGGCTAATGCCACCTGGCCCAGGGGGCGGGGCCCAGACTGACTCACCTCCGCCACAGCTTTAAGGACACTGGTGCTGCTGCAGCAAATGTTAAAAATGTTTTTATATATTTTAAAGTGTTTTAAAGGGGTTTTTACTTTTTACTTTGTTGTACCACCGTGAACAGTGGTTTTTATTTATGTATTTTTATTTTGTTCCATTTTATTTTGGTGGGGTTGGATATTAAGTGGGGTGGGGATTGGTTTTGTTTTTGTGTGATTGTTTTTGGTCTGTTTGTTTTTCTATTTTGTAAATGGAGGCTTGTATGAGGCTTGGGATTGCTACCGTGGAGGGGCGAGGGAGGTATGGCGGTGGGGGCAGATGTTATAGGCGAAGGGGATCGAGATATGGATACGCTCGTACCCCTTCCAATCTGTGCCCCATTCCGAGGGACGAGGGTAGGGTGAGCAAGGATTACTCACCTCCGTCACTGGTATTGTGCAATGCCAGGTCCATAGGCAACAAAACCGCCACTCTGCGAGATTTCTTCACCTCGCAGGGGGTTGACCTGGCTTGTGTGACGGAGACCTGGGTGCCCGAAGGGGAAACTGTTAACTTACGAGAGATGGCGCCCCCGGGTTTCTCCGTCCTCCACCAGTTGCGGACTGTGGGCCGGGGGGGAAGGGTGGCATTATTAATCCGGGAAGATTGTCCTTTCAGGGCTCTACCATCGCCATCGATCCCCGGCATTGAATGTGTTGGCCTAGTGTGGGGCTCCAAGGAGAGCTTGGCTGTCTGGCTGGTGTACCGGCCACCTAGCGCACCAGCAGCCACCCTGTCAGGCCTGCTGGAGCCGGTGGCTGGCTGGGCCTTGGAGTTCCCTAACCTATTGGTATTGGGGGACTTCAACATCCATGCTGATGCCACTCCCTCCTCACAGGCTCTGGACCTGGTGTCTTCCATGGCGGCACTAGGGCTCTCCCAGTTTGTTTCGGGCCCCGCACATCAAGCAGGCCACACGCTGGATTTGATCTTTGGCGTCGGTATAGATGTGATCATGTCTCCTTCGATGAAGGTGCCATGGTCTGATCACTACGCTCTGAAAGCCAGGATTGATTTTCCACCCCCACCCTGCTTAGGTGGCGAGCCAATTTGGGCTCGCCCGCAGAGGCTGATGGACCCTGATAGATTCCATCAGGCCTTGCGGGACCTTGCTCCCCCTGGCGACTCATTGACTGAGCTTGTTGAGGGCTGGAATATCCAGCTCCTAGCAGCCATCGATGAGATCGCACCTAGGCGGCCTCTATGGAGGCGCAGATTACAGCTGTAACAAAGGCGGCATTTTGTCATCTCCGCCAAGCTAAGCAGTTGGCTCCTTATCTCTCTCGCCCTGACCTAGCCACTGTGATCCACGCGACGGTCACCTCCAGACTGGATTATTGTAACTCGCTCTACGTGAGGCTGCCCTTGAGACTGACCCAGAAACTCCAGCGGGTGCAGAATGCCGCGGCGAGACTCCTTATGGGGTCTTCGCTGCGAGATCACATTCATCCGGTACTATACCAGCTGCACTGGCTCCCGGTAGAGTACAGGATCAGGTTTAAGGTGCTGGTTTTAACCTTTAAAGCCCTATACGGCCTAGGACCCTCGTACCTACGGGACCGCCTCTCCTGGTATGTCCCACAGAGGAACTTACAGTCTGCAAATAAAAACATCCTGAAGATTCCAGGCCACAGAGAGGTTAGGCTGGCCTCAACTAGAGCCAGGGCTTTCTCGGCTGCGGCTCCAATCTGGTGGAACGCTCTGTCACAAGAGACTAGGGCCCTGCGGGACCTGACATCTTTCCGCAGGGCCTGCAAGACAGAGTTGTTCCACCAGGCCTTTGGTCAGGGCGCAGCCTGACCCCCTCCTCTGGCAATCTGCACAGAATTTTGCTTAATGGTTGCCATCAATTTGATTTTAATTAATTTTTATAATGAAATGTTTTTAGAATGTTGGATTATTTTGATTGTTGTTAACCACCCTGAGCCCGACTTCGGCTGGGGAGGGCGGGATATAAATAAAATTTATTATTATTATTATTATTTACCTACTAGCTTAGCTTTGTGATTATATACTACATATAAATTACTTTTTTATTTTTTAAACTATCTGTGGAAAGTTGTGGAAATCCTAGGAATGCTGTGGCAGCGTGGCCTCAGTGGCTGGCTCCTTCTCCTGCTGCTGCTGCTGCGGAGGGGACAGAGGGGGGAAGCAGGCCCCGGAAGCAGGGGGGGCAGCAGGAGGAGGAGGAGGAGCCACCAACTGCCGTGTTCCTGGCGTGACGTTGGCAATGTCAGCCCCAATCTCCCTCCCGTTGGCGCCTCTGCCTCCAATAATGTTTGTAGCTGTCCTACCACAGCCCTCTCCACCAGTTTCCCCCAAAGTGAGTATTTCTAGCTGCTCAATAGCTGCTTCGGTCCAAACGGGTCCAGAGCCAGTTTCTTTAGGAGCTGCTGCATCACTGGCTCTTTCAACGCAGCAGGGACCACTTCTCAGGTATTCTGGGGAGGGTGGGTGTTGGATGGAGTTGTCAATTACTTTCCTTAATAACTGTATGAAATGACTAAGGCTCTGATTTTTAATTGTATGCGTTTATTGAAGGTTTCTTTTTTTAAAAAAAGTCTCATGGTGCTTGGATCTCTGCAGCTTCTCAGCCCAGCAACCACTACCTAGAATCACCAGGATATCACATCACAAGTGGCTGAAAATCCTTGGCTGAAATTATCAGAAGAGAATGAGTTCCTTCCAACTCTAAAGTCTCTGTTCCATGTCCACTTTCCATACAAGAGTTGTATGCAAATCTGCTATGCAAACTGTTGGCATCTAAACTCCTGGCATCTAATTTAAAGTCTAGGTTCAGCCTTAGAACATATTAACTTTGACTAGATGAAAGTACCACTGAGCAAGTGTAAAATGTATTATTTTCATTTGTGAATGCAGACTAATAGTTTCAAGAAAGTAACGTGATTTATACTAAAATGGCTAATGTCTAATTTCATTTTTAAAGAAACCTGTACCTGGACATAAGCACCTTCTACAAATAATGACAATTATTCTAGGACAATGAATTGTTAGCAGGTATATTCCCAGGGACCTTATGACATGCAACCAGAAAAGTCGATCATTTCGTCAGTCCAGTTGTAAACAAAGACTGCAGCAGAGATGGAGCGGGCTTCCAAATGTCCAGGCGTTTCACTTCCATTTTTTCCCTTTCTAATTCTTGCTGCTTCTCCTTTATGTGGAAAGGAATGCTAGAGTGGGAGGCCACAATGGGGGAGATAAAAAACACACCAATTAATCGTAGAGTTTCACTGTCACAACAGAGTAAATTCAAAGCTGTGCACCCAAAGGTCATGCTCCTTGGCATGTAAATACACATGTAAAGGTAAAGGTAAAGGGACCCCTGACCATTAAGTACAGTCGTGACTGACTCTGGGGTTGCGGCGCTCATCTCACTTTACTGGCCAAGGGAGCTGGCGTACAGCTTCTGGGTCATGTGGCCAGCATGACTAAGCCACTTCTGGCGAACCAGAGCAGCCACGGAAACACCGTTTACCTTCCCGCCGAAGCGCTGCCTATTTATCTACTTGCACTTTGATGTGCTTTTGAACTGCTAGGTTGGCAGGAGCAGGGACCGAACAACAGGAGCTCACCCCGTCGCGGGGATTCGAACCGCCGACCTTCTGATCGGCAAGTCCTAGGCTCTGTGGTTTAACCCACAGCACCACCCGCGTCCCGAAATGCACATAAAACTCATAAAACTCACCTCAAAAAGCAGACAGGCATTACAAGCTCAGAAATTTGTGCTTTGTCTACTCGGGATAGCAGTATTAGAGAAATGTCATCTCTGGTTCTACTTTAGACATGTTTTTCACCTGGGACTGCTGCCTAAGCTCCTTGAGGCTGTTTGTCCCCTCCCTTCCCTCATGTCAAAGGCAGGGGCCTTTGGTGCAACCTGAAGGGCAAGAGCTACAGACCTGTTGCTTTTTGCATGTGGTTCGAAGCTTCAGATCTCTGCAAGGGGAGCAAGAGCCCAGGGTATTCCACCAAACAGGGAATACTTAATTTTTTTCCACCTGGAAAAATGATGTCAGACCATCTGGATCTTCAAAAGAAGCTGCTGCCCTGACTCTATGGAGATAGCCCAGAACTGACCAATTCTCCATAGGTGAAAAGCGAGGAGGACTAAAGAAAGAGAAGGTCAATGCCAAAGAGTGGCAAATGTTGCTTGAAAATAAGTTCTATCCATCATTAGATTTACCCACAGATTTGGATTATGTGGGAGCAGAAGCAGAATGACTGGAATATTTGCAGTCCTCCCACCCTGATAAAAAAGGCAATGTTGCCAGTACAACTGATCAACCTTCACTGCTTAATGTTTACGTCATCAGTTCCTCTCAGCTGGAAAGTCAGCAGTGCTCAATCCCGACAAAGCCTGAGCAAAGGGAGTAACCTGATATTTGCAGATCCAATCCCTCGGCTGAGAAGGTAACAGAATCACTAGGAGCTATTAAACTTGGTCAGATGCCCCAAAAGAAGCCTGCTCTAGGTCCTAGTGTTCCACCAGTTTTCTTGGAATCCAGTATGGCAATAGATCCATTAGCAGTCAGACTGCAGAAAGAGAAAACCTTGGCTCCTTCTGAGCCACAGCCATTCCCTAATGAGGCTGAGGAAGAACTGTTCAGTTCCTTCAAAATGACTTTGGCCACAATGCACGATGATATCATAAAGAGACTGAGCAAAGATACAAAGTAAAAGGTCAAAAGTCAAAAATACAACACAAAGCTAGTGAAACAGTAGAACAAAAGCTTATAGAAACAAGAATACAGGAATTCAGGAAAACAAAGGAAGGATGCAGTGTTGTGAGTCAGGACAAGCCTGAAGTTGCTGCTTCACAAATGGCAGAGGCAAGTGCAAAGTAATACAAACAGAATTTCTGCAGGTCATATAGTTGCTATGCACGAAACCTGGATGTTCACAGAAACTGTAGTTAATCTACAATTTACTTTTTACTATCATTACTATCATATAATGATTTACTATCATTAGTATACCAAGTAACTCCCATAAAGAGTGGCAGACCAAGAAGCGGCAGACCCTTTGAGAGCCACAACATCCTAAGACACAGTAACTCCTCTGGAAGCTCTTGGCCCTACTGGTCTCTCCTGGTGAAAATACAACCCTTGCCACTTATTCAGCATCTATTCTACCTCAGAGTTCCACATTTACTAAATCTGCGAAATGAGTATCCAAGTCCACAGGTTGTAACAATGGTATATTTTAGTGTCTGAACTGATGACTTAACCAGACTCATCTTGAATTCAGCAGGATTTGCTTCTGAGCAAGTTAGGATTCTGCTTTTGGGTGCCTTAATTAGTATGGAGAAGGTCTTTTCGGAGGAAGAGCATAGGAAGAGGAGAAGGAAGAGGAGGGTGGTGGTCATTATTATTATTATTATTATCCATTTACATCCCACACTTCCTCCCAAAGCACCCCAGGCTGAGCAATCGGACCTCAAAGGACTGGGGAACTGTTGTTTTTGCTGCAAAAGACTATCAGGGCTACCTCTTTGCAAGGGAGCACACAGGAAAACTGATTGATTTGCAAGTATCTCTTGATGACTGAGCAATATGCGTGTATTGTAGTTTATGGTATACATTTTTTTAAAACTCCATATATCAGACAAAAAAACAGAAGACAGACTTGTAAAAAATAAAACTGCAGCAGACTGGAAAATACCAGATGGAAGTGGGAATGAATTTTGGAACCACTTGAGGCACATCCATATAGCCCTAAGTGAGTGTGGAGAGGATTTCACGCGGCCTGTGCAAGAGGCATTTGTGCAGCACCGCAGAGTTAAAGGTTTCAAAAATGCAAATGACCTTACACTAACATTTTTGTGCTTATCTCCAACATGATTTGTCAATCAAAGAAGAAATCCATTGTATATTCAAGTCAATCAAAGGATGTTTTAGGCAAAGAAGGATTATATATTTTAAAAGCCTCTTTATACAAGCCTGAATTCTTTGTGGGTGCTCTCCCTTTTATATTCTCGCTATAAGCTGCAAAGGGCTTTAGCCACCACAGGAGGGAGGTAAAGCTACAGTTTTCTAGCTTGCACAATGGAAACTAAAAGAATTGGAAACTAAAATGAAGGAAGTAGAACCATGAAATATACCCTCATCTCTTTTACACTCTAAAATTTATAAAACCTCATAACTCCAAGATTCTATTCTATTCTATTCTATTCTATTCTATTCCAGCTGTTTCAGGATTGGAGAAGTATTTCCTAGGGCCATTTCACATGAAACAAAATAGCCTAACAAAAAGTTAGTTTTTTTGAGAGCTTGCAGGGCAGCAGTTGAAGAAGGAGCAAAAAGGGTTTTCTTGTGTGTGTGTGTTTCTTTGTGGCTGATTAGCTGTTCTCCCTGTGCAAAGGGTTTCTGTTGAGACAGGTGATTAGCTGTGGGAGGAGTTTGAGCCATCTTTTAGATTTAGGGGAGCTAGTCTCAAACGTTTGTTGGGGGAGACCTAGGTTTTTTGGGGGGGGAAGTTATTTGTCCTGTCTTCACGCTTTTTATGATGGAGGACCGCTGTAGCCACCCCGAACGACACGTTCTCAAGATGGAGGGGAGGGAACAGCTGCAGTCGCCTGCGGTTCCTGCGCAATGTTTGCCATCTTGCCAAAGGTTGCAGGCAGCTTTACCTGCAGCAATTGCATGTTGATTGCCCTCTTAAAAGACAAAGTCCAGCAACTGGAGGAACGTGTAGCTACACTCCAAAGAATTAGAGAGCTGGAGCTCTTCTTGGAAGCAACAGAGCACACTGTCTCCACCAAGGAGGTGACAGGGGACTCCCCTGAGAAGGAGGCTAGTTCACCAACACAGGAGCCAGATATATGGAGAAACGTGACTCAAAGAAGTAGGAGGCCCAGGGTTCGCTCTGATTGTTTAGAAATACACAATCGCTTTGAGGTCCTCTCCCCTGGCATGGAAGACGAAGAGCAGACTCCATTTGAGGATCTCTCCCTCATTACAGTCGATCAGGTATATGAAGACGAGCAGCAAAGTCAGTCCTCAGGGAATGTGCAGGCGACCTTGGAACGGACAGCTCACGGAAGGACCCCGAACAAACCTAAGAGGAGGCGTGTAGTGGTGATAGGGGATTCCCTACTGAGGGGAACAGAAGCAGTGATCTGTGGGCCTGACAAGATGTCTCGGGAAGTGTGCTGTCTCCCGGGGCTAAGATCCAAGATGTAACTGAACGACTGCAAGGAATCATAAAACCCACTGACAAATACCCCTTCCTCTTGGTTCATGTAGGAACCAATGACACTGCAAGCAATAGCCTCCAGAAGATCAAAAGAGACTACGAGGCTCTGGGCAGGAAATTGAAGCAATTAAATGCACAAATTGTCATCTCACCTGTCCTCCCAGTTGAACGACGTGGCCCAGGGAGAGAGGGAAAAAGTGAACAGCTGGCTTCGCAAATGGTGTAAACAGGAACGGTTTGGATTCTTAGATCACGGACTGCAGTTTCTTGAAGATGGACTTCTGGCAAGCGATGGGCTGCACCTCACAACGGTTGGGAGAAATGTTTTTGCCAAAAATCTCAGAAACCTCATCAGGAGGGCTTTAAACTGACTAATGTGGGGGCGGGAGACAGTGCTCCTGAAGGTAGGAGTCTATCAATTGATGAAGATGATCATCCAAATGTCATAGACCAAATGGAGCAAACAGCACACAGACCTAGTGGTGGGAGGAAAAAATCCTTAAATAAGAGTCACGGGGAAATGATTAATGGACTTCAATGTCTGTACACTAATGCGCAAAGCATGGGAAATAAACAAGATGAGCTTGAGCTCTTGGTACAGCAAACTAAATATGACATAATAGGCATCACTGAAACCTGGTGGGATAAGTCCCACGATTGGAATGTAATAATGGGGGGATACAATCTATTTCAGAGAAACAGACCAGACAAGAACGGAGGAGGAGTGGCGTTATATGTCAGGGATATGTATACCTGTGAAGAGATCCAAGATTTAGAACCTCAAAGCCAATGTGAGAGCATTTGGGTCAAAATTAAGGGGGAGAAGAATAACAGTGACCTCATTGTGGGAGTTTACTATAGATCCCCAAGCCAAACGGAGGACATAGATGATGCCTTCCTGGAACAGATGGCCAAGCATGCAAAAGGAGGGAGATAGTAGTAATGGGGGACTTCAATTACCCGGATATTTGTTGGATGTCAAACTCAGCCAAGAGCATAAGGTCAAACAGATTCCTCACTGGCCTTGCAGACAACTTCATTGTCCAGAAAGTGGGAGAAGCAACAAGAGGAACAGCCATTTTAGATCTGGTCCTAACCAATGTTGATGACCTGGTTAGTGGGGTAGAAGTGGAAGGATCATTAGGCGCGAGTGATCATGCTCTTCTGAAGTTTACTATACAGCGGAAAGGAGCAGCCAAGCATACTAGGACTCAATTTCTTGACTTTAAGAAAGCTGACTTCATAAAACTTAGGGAAGTGCTGGGTGAGATCCAATGGACAGTAATACTAAAAGGAAAGGGAGTTCATGATGGCTGGGAGTTTGTTAAGAGGGAGATAGTAAAAGCACAACGTCAGGCAATACCAATGAGACAGAAACATGGAAGGTGCCTAAAGAAGCCAGGGTGGCTATCTAAAGAACTTTTAACTGAGTTAAGATTAAATAAGGATGTGTACAAAAAATGGAAAAGGGGGGAAACCACCAAAGAGGAACTCAAACAAATAGCCAGCACGTGTAGACACAAAGTCAGAAAAGCTAAAGCACAGAATGAACTCAGGCTTGCTAGAGAGGTTAAAAGCAACAACACAGGCTTTTATGGGTATGTCCGTAGCAAAAGGAAGAACAAAGAAACAGTGGGGTCACTCAGAGGAGAAGATGGTGAAATGCAAACAGGGGACACAGAAAGAGCTGAACTCCTCAATGCCTTCTTTGCCTCAGTCTTCTCCGATAAAGAAAACAATGCCCGACCTGAAGAATTTGGAGCAAATGATTCAGCAAAGGAAACACAGCCCAGAATAACTAAGGAGATAGTACAAGAATACTTGGCTAGTTTAGATGTATTCAAGTCTCCAGGGCCAGATGAACTGCATCCAAGAGTATTAAAAGAACTGGCAGATGTGATCTCAGAACCACTGGCAGTCATCTTTGAGAATTCCTGGAGAACAGGCGAAGTCCCGGCAGACTGGAGGAGGGCAAATGTTGTCCCTATTTTCAAAAAGGGAAAAGAGAGGACCCAAATAATTACCGCCCAGTCAGTCTGACATCAATACCAGGGAAGATTCTGGAGCAGATCATTAAGCAAACAGTCTGTGAGCACCTAGAAAGGAATGCTGTGATCACCAATAGTCAGCATGGATTTCTGAAAAATAAGTCATGTCAGACTAACTTGATCTCGTTTTTGACAGAATTACAAGCCTGGTAGATGAAGGGAACGCAGTGGATGTAGCCTACCTTGATTTCAGCAAGGCATTTGACAAGGTGCCCCATGATATTCTTGTAAAGAAGCTGGTAAAATGCGGTCTTGACTATGCTACCACTCAGTGGATTTGTAACTGGCTGACTGTCCGAACCCAAAGGGTGCTCATCAATGGTTCCTCTTCATCCTGGAGAAGAGTGACTAGTGGGGTGCCACAGGGTTCTGTCTTGGGCCCGGTCTTATTCAACATCTTTATCAACGACTTGGATGATGGACTCAAGGGCATCCTGATCAAATTTGCAGATGACACCAAACTGGGAGGGGTGGCTAACACCCCAGAGGACAGGATCACACTTCAAAACGACCTTGACAGATTAGAGAACTGGGCCAAAACAAACAAGATGAATTTTAACAGGGAGAAATGTAAAGTATTGCACTTGGGCAAAAAAATGAGAGGCACAAATACAAGATGGGGACACCTGGCTTGAGAGCAGTACATGTGAAAAGGATCTAGGAGTCTTGGTTGACCACAAACTTGACATGAGCCAACAGTGTGACGCGGCAGCTAAAAAGCCAATGCAGTTCTGGGCTGCATCAATAGGAGTATAGCATCTAGATCAAGGGAAGTAATAGTGCCACTGTATTCTGCTCTGGTCAGACCTCACCTGGAGTACTGTGTCCAGTTCTGGGCACCACAGTTCAAGAAGGACACTGACAAACTGGAACGTGTCCAGAGGAGGGCAACCAAAATGGTCAAAGGCCTGGAAACGATGCCTTATGAGGAACGGCTAAGAGAGCTGGGCATGTTTAGCCTGGAGAAGAGGAGGTTAAGGGGTGATATGATAGCCATGTTCCAATATATAAAAGGATGTCACATAGAGGAGGGAGAAAGGTTGTTTTCTGCTGCTCCAGAGAAGCGGACACGGAGCAATGGATCCAAACTACAAGAAAGAAGATTCCACCTAAACATTAGGAAGAACTTCCTGACAGTAAGAGCTGTTTGACAGTGGAATTTGCTGCCAAGGAGTGTGGTGGAGTCTCCTTCTTTGGAGGTCTTTAAGCAGAGGCTTGACAACCATATGTCAGGAGTGCTCTGATGGTGTTTCCTGCTTGGCAGGGGGTTGGACTCGATGGCCCTTGTGGTCTCTTCCAGCTCTATGATTCTATGATTCTATGATTCTAGTTTTGTTAGTTTGTCAGGTGTATGTGATTAACACAAGTATTTTACAACAATCCCGCAGAGTGCCTCTACCAAGTGTGGCTTCCTATTGTTGTTTTTTTCTGTGGCAAAACAGACACATTAATTCATCATGCATCATTTCCTACAAGAAAGGCCTTCATCTTGCATGAAGAATCCTAGAGGATCCTGGCATCCTGCCTGAGGCGTTGTGAAGCAAAGTGGTACTGAGCTCATTGCATGGCTGGTGTATCAGATGAGGGGCCACACACCACCCTAAGTCACTCTGGGACACCCATCTCCAACTGCTGCCCTCCCCCCGTCTGCTGAAAGATACCCCATGCCTGAGCCTAAGTTCCACCAACACATGTAATCAATAAAGTTGTGGCCATTTGAATTCCAGATCGTTGTCTGCCTGAGTCTGTACTCTCAGACTTTGCCTTGGAATGACAGCAGGGAGGCACTGCGACTAGGACTGCAATTGCTGGTCCTTCTATCTGGCTGTTGAATACTAGGTTTTAATACACTAGTTTTTGGTTTTAGGATACTGAATACTTGTGTCAGGGAACTGACATCGGAGCCAGAGGCGGAGGCTAGGCTCTCAAGCGATGCTGGAGAAGGGCCCAGCAGGGGGAGAGGAGGCTCACCAGCTGGGGAAAGAAATCAGCGTAACACCAGGGATAAAGGGGGGCAGATGGGGGAATCGGCGAGAGGGCTCCAGGACTCCTCGCCGGAGATCAGCGAGGAGAGCACGGGTCCTCCGCTACCCACGCCCTCCCTGCGCAGAAGGCTTCCTCGCAGGGAGAGTAGGAGGAGACTTGGAGCCAAACAACTTTTATGCTGGAAAAGGTTTAAGAAACGCCCACTGACGGATTCTGCTAGCGACTGAACAGCCACGAAGTGCAGGGCTGTCCAGACAGAAAAGGTTTAACAAGGCAACCTAGCCAGGAGTGGCACCAACTTGCGCACGAGCAACCCCTACATTTATTACAGCAATCCGTCAGTCCTTGACGTTGCTTGTGCGCAGCGACAGGCAGGCAGCAGAATGAGCCAAACCGGAGAAGCCGGCGCCACGGAGGGAGCAGCCGGAGTGCAAAATCTGGTGGAGAGGAACCGAGATTTGGAACAGCATGTGGCTCTTCTCACGGCGCGGTTGGAAGAAAGGCGGGCTCACGATGCACAGGTCCGGACCACCCCCGTAGCAAGGAAGGTACCAGGACTGGTACACAAGTTTGGGCGGAAACCCCAGGACTACAACGCGTTCCGAACGGAAATAGAATACGCTTTGGAACTGCAGCATAAGGATTTTGCGGACGATGGGGAGAGGGTGGCATACATTGTTGGGCATCTGCAGGATGGGGCCAGGGAATGGATCAGGCCCCTAATGGCAACGCAAAATGCCGCCTTGAAAGACCTGAGGAAATTCTTCCAGGCGATGGATGCGATGTATTCCAGTGATGTGCAGCAAAGTGTGACTCGGCGGGAACTGATGGGTTGTAAACAGGGGAACCAGTCAGTTAGAGACTACTGGTCACGCTTTGCCATGTTAGTCCACCGGCTCGGGTGGGAATTGGACTCGGAACCCATTCAGATGTTGTTTGAGGAGGGGTTGTCCCCAACAGTGAAGGACGAGCTTTCCCGCGCGCCCCGCCCGCAGTCGATGGATCAGCTGACCAAGGCTGTGCTTGCGATTGGCGTAAGGCAGGAAGCGCGGGCTCAGGAGAATCGGGAAGGGAGAGGGGAACGTTGCCATGACTACCGCATTCCTGAAATACCGAGGCAGCCTTCCCCACCGGCGGAGCCAATGGAAATTGATGGCGCGCGGGCGCGCGGGAGGTTTCAAACTCCAGTGAAGGTCGCAAAAGGGAGGGAAAGGATTGGAAAACTAATAAGAAGTGTTTCCTCTGCCAGCGGCCAGGACATTTTGCCAGGGTCTGCCCTCAAAGAAAGGCCTGGCAAGGAATGGTGGGAGCTGCTGGAGGTGAGGAGGAGGGGGGAAAGAGCAGGAGCAGGGAAACGCCAACGCTTGGCTGCCACTCAGCGGGCACAGCAGCCAGGCCAGCAACCAATAGAAGTGCCCCAGCCAGACCCCCCCAGAGCGGCCATAGCCATAGAAGTGGTGCTAGAACTCCCGAATGGGCACCCAGTCAAGGTGAAGGGGCTGTTGGATTCAGGCAGTTCCTGCAATTTCTTCAGCAAGGACTTCGCCCTAGAGCACCAGCTCCACCTGCTGCCCCTGGATTTTCCCTTGCAAGTGACCACCCTTGATGGCAGGGAGCTTCTGGGAGGGGAAGTGACGCACCAGACCCCACCAATGAGAATGAGGGTTTCCAGGCACACGGAGACCATTGCCTTTCACGTAGCCACACTGGCAGGACCCCCAATAATATTAGGGATGAGCTGGCTGGCACTACATGATCCAGTAGTGGCATGGCATCAGCGGACGGTCACCTTTGGGTCAGCTTACTGCTTCGAACACTGTCTAGGGGGGAAAACCCCAAGGATGACCGTGGCCAGGGTGGCTGGGTTAGTGGTGGAGCCGAAAGGGGAGGTGCCACCACAATATGCTGACCTGCAGGAGGTCTTCAGCGAGAAGGAGGCGGATAGACTACCCCCCCATAGACCCTTTGACTGCCAAATCAACTTGCTCCCAGGGGCTCAGCTGCCAGTGGGTAAACTGTATGCCATGTCGGACCGGGAGATGAAGGAGTTGCGGGAGTTTATTGACAAGAACCTGAAGAGGGGGTTCATAAGGGAATCAAAGGCGATGGGGGGCAGTCCGGTGTTCTTTGTGGACAAAAAAGGGACTAACCAGCCCAGATTGGTCGTAGATTTTAGGGCGTTAAATTTGGTATCAGAACCCGTGACCTTCCCAATGCCCAGGATGGACGACATTTTAACACGGGTGAGGCAGGGAAAATTTTTTACCAAGCTGGACCTCAGGGGAGCATACAACTTGATTAGGATGAGGGAGGGGGACGAATGGAAGACCACAATGTCAACCCCGCTGGGGGCCTTTGAGTACTTAGTTATGCCATTTGGATTACAGTCGGGCTCCGCCTGTTTTCAAGCTTTCATGCACCACGTGTTGGGGTCCCTGCTGTACAAGAACTGCGTAGCCTTCTTGGACGACGTCTTAATCTATTCGGACAATGAGAAGCAACATGTCAGAGATGTCAGGGAAGTGCTAAAGAGACTGCAGAAGCACCAGTTGTGAGTCAAGCTGGAAAAATGTCAGTTTCACACCAGAGAAGTCGAGTTTCTGGGGTACAAGTTGTCAGACAAAGGCCTAGCTATGGACCCAAGCAAGGTGCAGGCGGTGCTGGAATGGAAGGCCCCCAAAACCCGGAAGGACGTGCAGAGGTTCCTAGGGTTCAGCAACTTCTACAGGAAGTTCATCAAGAACTTCGCCCACTTGACAGCGCCCATCACAGATTGTCTCAGCAGCAAAAGAAGTTTGTCTGGACAGAAAGTGCCCAGCAATCCTTTGAAAGACTGAAGAAGGCGTTCGCTTCGGAAGAGCAGCTCCTGCACGTTGATCTGGAGAAATCCATGAGGCTAGAGACCGACGCGTCCGACAGAGCCATTGGGGCGGTTCTTTTGCAGCCAGGGAGGAGCAAACAGGAATGGAAGCCGTGTGCCTTTTTCTTGAGGAAGCTGAGCAAGTCAGAGCAAAACTATATGGTGTACGACCGCGAACTGCTTGCGATCTATGCGGCGTTTTGCCGATGGCGACATCTGCTGATAGTGGCACAGCACAAGATCCAGGTTTGTACTGATCACAAGAACTTGGAGTACTGGAGGACCGCAAGAGTACTCAACCAGAGACAGATTCGATGGGCACAGGAGTTCTCCAAGTTTTCCTTCGAAATCCGATACGTGCCAGGAGAGGAAAACGTAAGAGCAGATGCTCTCTCCCGGAAGCCGGAGTACATGGAAGGAGAGGGACCGCCAGAGATACGACACGTGATCCCCGAGGACCGATGCGTGTGTGGGGGAGCCTTGGTTGGGAAACGAGAACTGGCCGGGCTTACTAGAAACGACGTGTTAGCTCAAACTAAAATCCGGGAACTCCGAGATGGAAGAGAAAACCAAGGGGGTTTTGAGGAAAAGGAAGGGGTGCTGTACTATAAGGGGGCGCTGTATGTACCGGGGAGACCCTGAGGGGAAAGGTACTCAAAAAACTCCACGGCAGCCCCACAGCTGGGCACTTTGGACAGCACAAAACCATGATGCTCGTCACCAGGCAGTTCTGGTGGCCAAGGGTGAGGGAGGATGTACGGGAATATGTATGGGGGTGCGACCGCTGCCAAAGGGCAAAGGGGGAAAGGGCTGCCCCCGAAGGGTTACTGGAACCCTTACCCACGCCGGGAAGACCCTGGGAGGTGGTGTCCATTGATTTTATGACCGATTTGCCCAAGTCCCGGGGGAAGACAGCAGTCATGATAGTAGTCGATCTATTGACAAAGATGTGCCATTTCATAGCTTGTTCACATTCGGTGACCGCAGAGGAGACAGCCAGGTTGTTTGTGGATCACATCTTCAGGTTGCATGGGGCTCCCTTGAGAGTAATTTTGGATCACGGGAAACAATTTACTTCCCGTTTCTGGAGGAAGCTCATGAGTTTGCTGCAGGTAGAGGTGAGCTTCTCGACGGCGAGACATCCGTAAACCAACGGGCAAGCAGAAAGAGCGAACAGTGTACTCCAGCAATACCTACGCTGCTACGTCAGCGAGAGGCAGAATGATTGGGTAGAGAAACTAGCGCTGGCTGAATTTGCGTACAATAACGCTGAACATGTGTCCACGGGAATGAGCCCGTTCATGGCCAATTATGGGTGTCACCCCAGGGCCTTCCCGGGGAGTGGGGAGGAAGGGTGGAGCGTACCTGCGGCAGAGCAGTTTGTGGAAGAAATGGAGGCTCTGCACCAGCAACTTAAGATGAACTTAGAACAGGCCAAGGAAATTTACAAGAGGCAGGCAGACAAGCACCGTAGGGAAAGGGAGACCATACGGGTGGGGGACCGGGTGTGGTTGTCAACCCAAGGGTTACCCTTTAAGGGGGGGTGCAAGAAGTTGCAGCCAAGGCGGCTGGGGCCGTTTGAGGTAACACAGCAGGTGAACCCCGTGGCATTCAAGCTCAAGTTGCCAGACAGCATGAAGATACACCCGGTGTTCCATAGGTCCCTACTCTCACCGTACAGGGAGGGGCGGGGAGTCCTGGGGCGGGAAGGCGAAGTCACCACACACCCGCAGATAGAGGAGAGGGAACACCACAACCGGGCCACGGAAATACTCGATTCAAGGTGGCGAGTAGCTTGGGAGGGAGAACCCGGGTCGGAAAACACGTGGGTTCCCGCGGAGGCAATCAATGACGGGTATCTTGTGGAGGGATTCCACAGCCTGTTCCTGGACAAACCCAAGCCACTAGCGAGATTCTGGGAGGAGCAATTTGGAACCACAGACGATGAAGAGGATTTTGTGGGTTTTTCTGCCTCCGAAGAGGAGGGAGGAGAGGCTTCGGAGGAAGAAGAATCAGACTGGGAGGCCCACCCCGCAGGGAGAGATCAGAGTGGGTGGGAAGCGGGTTTTGAATCCTCAGAGGATGGCGACAGCTCCTTCCGGGGATTCCCCGCATCGTCGGCCGAGGAAAGGGACGTTTTTGTATAAAAAGGTGGGGCCGGGGTGAAGGGGGTCCTGGGGGGGAGGTGGATGTCAGGGAACTGACATCGGAGCCAGAGGCGGAGGCTAGGCTCTCAAGCGATGCTGGAGAAGGGCCCAGCAGGGGGAGAGGCGGCTCACCAGCTGGGGAAAGAAATCAGCGTAACACCAGGGATAAAGGGGGGCAGATGGGGGAATCAGCGAGGGGGCTCCAGGACTCCTCGCCGGAGATCAGCGAGGAGAGCACGGGTCCTCCGCTACCCACGCCCTCCCTGCGCAGAAGGCTTCCGCGCAGGGAGAGTAGGAGGAGGCTTGGAGTCAAACAACTTTTATGCTGGAAAAGGTTTAAGAAACACCCACTGACGGATTCTGCTAGCGACTGAACAGCCACGAAGTGCAGGGCTGTCCAGACAGAAAAGGTTTAACAAGGCAACCTAGCCAGGAGTGGCACCAACTTGCGCACGAGCAACCCCTACATTTATTACAACTTGCTTTTAATACTTTTGCTAATTTCCTTTGTTAGTTGGACTTCAAGATATAAATAAATCACCAACTGAATCACATACAGTACACAAAAAGTAAATAGTTACTTTCTTAGTTTTTCGTTGCAAGATTAACAGCTGGCTTGACCTCTTCATGTCATGCTTAAAATAAGCTCTTAAAAAATCTATTTACTAGAGTTGCAAGTGACTCTTAAGTGCTTCACCAAAAGCCCATGAAAGCATAACCTGGATGCTCTGTGGCTTAGTTCTACATATAAACATCTGAACCAGGACAGTGGCATATCAATTTCTCTTGCTGCTCTCTAGCTAGGGGCGGAGGCTAAAGTTTGCATTTAAAGGTGAATCTACTGAATTCACACTTTCCAATGATAGCCAAAACTCAGTCATTATGCAAATTTTGTACTTACCCAAATTTTGCAATTCTCCAACCAACCCATGCATTATATTAGGAGAAATTACTTGCGAAAATGTGTATATTAGTTGAAACTGCATATGAAACTGTGTTTATTAGGATAAATTAACATAAAGCGCTGAATGAAAAATGAGAAGCAGAGAGAACTGAAATTGGCATATCCTTCCCTATTCTCCAAGGGTAGGATTACTTTGTTTGTCTTAAAGCATAAAACAATAAAAGCATACAAGGGCAGAGTATTAAATGAAATACTAGATACATACCAAGGAACTCCTGGCAAGTGCTGGAGAGGAATAAACGTATCTGACTGCTTTATATACTTGGAACTATTAAAAAAGAAAACAAAAGCCATTTGGACTTAGGGAACAGACACATCATTGATTTTGATTTGATTTGGTTTGGCATTACATGTGCAAAATCCTAATGCAGTTGCTATGAGGTGCAAGTTCTTTCAATAATAGAACCCACATTTCTTGTTCAAGACTATAGAAGATATATGGATTTGTTTTTTTCTTGACAATAAAATGAGTTCACTTGTAAAAATTGCCTCTGAGCTTCTACAAGTTTGGAAATTTCTCTATATAAATCTATGGCTTTTTGCTTTGGTTCCAGAAAGTCACATACAGGTCACCATAGACATCAAATATTTCTCACAATATATATACTTAGAAAGACTGCAGGTTGTTTTTTTTTAGAAATCTCTCTTGAAAATAGCAAAACAATAGCATAAATCCTAGCAGCCACATCAAACGTCATTATCGCAAAATCTCTAGCTTCTTAAAGGGTTTTGATGGCCAACAGTGGCACAAAAGGCACAAGTTAATGCCCATAAGACAACTGTCATGCTGATGGCACAAAATCTGTGTTAAACAATGTAAAGACAGATCTGTGTGTCTCCTTTGGGAAGACAAAGATTTACAGGACCAGTCTGGCAATATTTTATTCCATTATCAAGCTGTAATTTCCTCTCCAAGATCCTCTTCCCACTGTAACCTTAAGTTTATGAAAGACTTGTGTATTAGCATCTAACATTAAGCTATGCATTTTTGAAATGAAACCTTTGCTATGCTGAACAGGGTCTAAGATAAAGGATTCAAAACAATAGCTTGGGCCTTAATAGGGATGTAGGTCATAAAGTATGATATGTGGTGGGGTTGCACTCCAGTGACCTCTTGCCTGCTCTGTAGTTGAGGCCCACTTAGAGGCATAGGCCGAGTATAAAAGGTTGGCATGAAAAACAAGCACTGTGTTTTCTAAGGTGGAAGATACAGATATTTGTCTAAACAAAAAGGATGGTGAAGCAGGACTTCCGGGTTGGCGCCTCTGGCAATGGCGGATTTCCTCCGATCGGGAGGAATCCGCTCCGTGGAAAACAGGGTCTGAACCGCCACGGCGAGGCGGAGACCCATCAAAAACCAAAGGCGGGGGAAGCCTGTGGACGTGGGATTCGGCCGGTACCTTTGCGCCCCCCCTACTCACGGGGAAACCCGATTTCAGGGTTCCGGAGTGACGTGGGGTGAGTGGCGCGGTGCCTTGAATCGACTGCTTGTTTCACGGAGTGAAGCCGCATTGCTGTTGCCGGAGAGCGCTGACTTTTTCCTGTGGACAATTGGACTCTAAACAAGTACCCGTGAGTAGAACGGAAAATTGGATTAAGAAATTTCCTTTAATTTGGCACTGAAGCGGAAAGGTATAAACAGGAAGTCTGCCTTCCGCTTTTTGTAAATAGATTGAAGCAAAGACACGGCAAGCTAGAGCTTAGAAAATCGTGTGTAAAGGATCAATTTTCATCATTTAAAATTACTGAACCCCCCCCTTGGAAGAAGGAGAAGAGGGGGGAACTTTTTCTGGACTGATTAAACTTGCAGAAGACAAGTAAAGAAAAGCAATTATCCACCGTCCTGAACCTGGGAGCGGGGTGTCAGGACAGACGTCTTCGGGAAGTTCATTGACTATAGACAAACGTTTTTGACAGATAGTTAAAAGAAGAGAAACATATTGATTCCTTTGTTCCCCTTCGCATCTAAAAGGAACAAAATATTGACAAAATATCTGAAAAAGGAAACTTTGTTGTTAGATTTGCTTTTTTTAAAAAAAAAGAGAGAGATGGATACAAATAGAAGCTTTTCCCCTAGAGGGAGCTTGTGAAACTGTAAATTTGAACTGGGGAGCAGCAATAGATTAAGATCGTGGGAACAGACTCTGACCTTCAACAACAATGTACTCAGAGGCTCTGGTGTTGGCCTTTTGTAAGACAAGTGCTTTATTGGAACAGTTACATGAGAAGATGGATTTGATGACTGTTGGGATTGGAAAGTTTGGACAGGCAGTGGGTACTTATTTAGAACCCACTCAGGAATTAACTCAGGAGTGTGCTTTGACAGATCAGATGAGGGAGGAGGTTGTTGCTGGACCTAGTGAGGCAGAGATGGAGGGAACTGTGGCCCAGCAGGAACATGAGTTGCTGGACTTGACGAATGAACCTAGAGAAAGACAGATTTGGAGAGACAGAGTTCTGTTTGGCTTGGAGATGGGGGGCTGGATAGACCCCCCTATGCAGGGATGTTTTGACTTTTCAAGTCTGGCTTTGGGCCAGGAGGCGTTCGGAGTTGTGCGGGCCCTTAACTTTGGAGGGACTTTGAAACATGCTTTTAAATACCACATGGAGTTCAGTGTTGACTTTGGAAAAGGGGCTGATCTGTCGAGAAGGGACAAAAGCATTGTCAAGCTGGAGTCTCCCCGAGTGAAAGGAGCAGAAGACAAAGTAAAGCACAGGTATAAATATGAAGAAGATCTGCGGATGGGACATGGAAGAGATCCAAGGGCCTCGGATATAAGGTTACCAGGTTGATGGACTAGATGGATGGGGTAGAAAGGTCTGACAAAACCCGAGACCAGGAGAAAGAGACGTTGGATGAAGATTGGAAGAAAGTTTTAAACAAATTATTTAGGAAAATCTTGTAAAAGAGTATTAGAAAAATGTTGGAATGAAATTATTTGGCTTTAGCAGAAATGTTAAAAAGAATTATGTAAGAATATGTCATGGTTAAGAGAATTTGGTATAAATAAGATTTAAGTTTTAAGTTTTAGGGCCTTTTTAGGTAAGATAAGGTTAAAATAGATTAAGGTAATTTAATGATAGAATATTATGAAAGAGGGAAAGGATTTGCTGAGATAATTAACAACTAGAATACAAAAAAGGGACGTGTGAGGAGGTCGATGAAACAAAGTAATGACAGTTAATGATTTGGGAATATTGGATTTGTTTTTAAATTTTTTGTCTATTTTTGCTTTTTGATTTTGATGTACTATGTGTGTTTTTTTGTTTTTTTGACCTTGTTTTTTTTATTGATTCGTATTGTCTAAATGCTACTTGTTTTTTTTTCCTTGTTTTTTTTTCTTTGTTTTTTGTAATCTTAAAATTCTCAATAAATATTATTTTTTTAAAAAAAGGATGGTGAAGCAGTAGTAACAAAGGGGAGAGACTTGAAGAAAGTCTAGATCAAGGTGGGGAACCTCCATCCTGCAGCCATAGTTACAGCTGGCATGGGTCCCAATTTGGGTTGCAAATGCACACCTGACACTGTGCGTCACCATGTGCTGGACAGGAAGGGATTCAGCAGCCAAGGAACAATTAGGAGTCTTAGAATTATGTCATTTTATTGAGATCAATATTTTAGTCATGTTGGACTCAGGTGCTGTATCTTATTGCATTTGTAGTTTTGTATATGATTCACTTTTTATTAATGTGTGTACGGTCATACCTTGGTTGTCGAATGGAATCCGTTCCGGAAGTCCGTTTGACTTCTAAAAACGTTCAAAAACCAAAGCTCAGCTGCTGATTGGCTGCAGGAGCTTCCTGCACTCAGTCGGAAGCTGCATTGGATGTTTGGCTTCCAAAGAACGTTAGCAAACTGGAACACTCACTTCTGGGTTTGCGGCGTTCAGGAGCCGAAATGTTTGAGTCACAAGGCGTTTGAGAACCAAGGTACGACTGTATATTGTTTAGAGAGATTTATTGCTTTATTGCGTCACTTTAAATGTGGAATGTGATGATCACTGTTATCATCAGCCATCACAGGGCTGAGTGTGGAACTTGCCTCCCAAAGTTCACTGGAGGCAGGGTTGGTCCCAGTTTGTGGAAGTCTTTGCTTTGTTCTGGATAGGCATAAGGGTGGTCTCCCAGTGTCACCAACGGAATACCATTTCTGGAGGCATCTTCAGTCACTGTGATGACAAATAAAAACACAACTAGATAGGACACGGGGGACAAAAGTTTAGTTTCTACCATTTGAACCGTAGAAAAAGATCCATTTGAGTCATGCACATAGATAACATTAATTTAAAGCTATGTATGCCACTATAACCCCTTCATGGATCCCTGCCTTGTTGTGGCGAAGGGGCTTGAATAACCCCAAGAAGCTCTGAGCCATGCCGTGCAGGACCACCCAAGACAGACAGGTCATAGCCGAGAGTTTAGACTAAATGTAATCCACCTGGAGAAGGAACTGGCAAACCACTCCAGTATTTTGCCAAGAAAACTCCATGGACATAAAAAAGGAGACGCTTTGAGAAGAAAGTGAGTTTCCAAGGCATGCTCTGGTTCATAGGGTCACGTAGTGTCGAGCATGACTAAGACGACTAAACAACAAATGCCACTATAAACCTAAAACCACTTTCTTAAATTTTAAATAGAAGCATCTGCAGTACCGGATTATGGTGAAATCTACACACATATAAAAATGCTGTGAAAATGTTTTTTTAAAAAAAAGTTTTGAAAAATACATTGAACTTGGCATAGGTCACTGTCGCTATCTAGTGTCACATTTGTATATTGCACTTTACAACACATTTAAAATGTTTTATTTGCAGCTGTGTAGATGAGTCCACAGTCACACTCTTGAAATGCTACAATTCTGACCCATGATGCATGCTGTCCTTCTTTAGGAGAGGGTCGAGGGGGGGCAAGGCAGTTGCTCTTGTGTGATCTCTTAGTGGCCTTTGATATCTTGGTGGCATTGGATCTGCAACCAATCAGGGCAAGGAATAACACGGAACTAGACAACAAGTGGCAGGTTTTCGGAAACCTTTCAGTAAACATTTCAGGCCCACCTTCTTGATCACAAAAATATTCAAGCCAAAGCATTTGCTGTATTTCATTAACCTATCTATACCCCCATTTTCACAGAGTATAAAGCACCTCACACAACTGAAAACAAAATTTAAAATAACGTGAATAAACAAAAAGCAATGTTAAAAGAGCAACAGATTTTCAGAGCCTTGGAGGCAGGGGGCAAGGCTATGGATATGGGGAAAAATGATAATCATCTATACCAGGGGTGACTAACCCAAGGACTTGAAGGTGGCCCCCAGTCCCCTAAGAGATGTTGTGGCCCCTGAACCATCAACATTTCTCATTTGAAGATGGCTTTATTCTAACAAGTCTTGAGTGCTCCGGTGGATCCACAGCGGTGACAATATGCTGTCAAATGGATGTGGGTGGGTGTTCACTTCCAACCCCGTTTAAAAATCACTAAAAAGTTTTAAACTATTTTTAAAAAAAATGCTTAAAAAAATGCTCATTGTTCCCACGTCTCTCATTGCAATACTGTGATTCCAGAGGTTATATACATATGTGTGTGTGTGTGTGTGTGTGTGTGTGTGTGTGTATGTATAATGGCACCCCCGCACACACACACTGTAATGCCAGTCAGCTTTGTGGCTTCCCAAGGAGCCCCAAAGTGGTACCGTTTGAAATGTTTTAAATTATCTGTCTATATTTACAGACCACTCTTGTGGGGCCCTGATGCAATTTGGTGATGCCAAAATGTTTTGTGACACCCCTCCCCTCATTCCTCCTTTTTTAAAATGGCAAATTTGGGGCACACACATTTTGACATCCCCACTTTCAGCTGTAGCTCACAGAGATTTGACCTCAGTGCAGTTTTTGGCCTGAAAAAAGTTGAGTGACCTATACATTGAAAAATGAAAAGGAGACAAAACTCACATGTGGCTGATTCCACCTTGGAAAATGTGTATGAAAACATGAGAACTGAACCTCATAGTTTTGGTAGCCCAAAACTTTAAGATATTAAGATAAAGAATTGAAAGAGGTTTCTGTGGTGTTACCATATTTCTTCTTTCCAAAGCACATTTCCACTGTCCTTTCAGATGTTGTGGTTTTGTTTCTGAGGTGTACACCCTCAAAGAAACACTTTTTCCCCGTGTGATAAGTGTGACCAAAGGAACTTGGATAAAATGTCCATTCTGTGTCTGAATTCTCATTATCTCCTAAAGAAGAGAGAGAAATTGTAAGAATGGCTGAGCTTTCTTTTCTTTTTATCTATTTATAGTAATTTGAAAAATAAAGAATAATTCAACAACATTTCAAATTCAACACTTAGTCATTCAGCCTAGGACTTCCCCTCCATCCCTCCATGGTTCCCCCAAAATTCCAACTCCTGCTGCGTATTATAATTATTCTAAGTCTTCACTTCTTCCTAAAAAATCCCTCCACCATACCTTGGATCTCAAACACCTTGGGTCCTGAACAAATCGGCTCCCAAACAGTCAAAACCCGGAAGTGAGTGTTCTGGTTTTTCGAACGATTTTTGGAAGCCGAATATCCAGCGTGGCTTCTGTGGCTTCCGATTGGCTGCAAGATGCTCCTGCAGCCAATCAGAAGCTGCGCCTTGGTTTTTGAACGGTTCTAGGAGTCGAACGGACTCCCAGAACGCATTCTGTTCGAGAACCAAGGTACGGCTGTACTTTGCACTGCTGTCTTTTCTCAAATCCTACTTGCATTTTATCAGGTTTCCATGGAGTTTTTCAGTAATCTATTGCAAATGTATACATGGTTGCCATGAGGTAGACGACATCACATACTCTTCTGCTGATTTGCCCCCTGTACACAACGCCTAGAGGGAAATTTATATTTCTGATCCTTAATTGGCTTCCAGGTCGATCCACACAGGAAGTGCCCGTTGAACTCCTAGCAGACAAACATTAATAATAATAATAATAATAATAATAATAATAATAATAATAATTTATTTATACCCCGGCCATCTGGCTGGGCTTCCCCAGCCACTCTGGGTGGTTTCCAACGAAATATTAAAATACAGTAATGCATCAAACATTAAAAGGTTCCCTAAACAGGGCTGCCTTCAGATGTCTTCTAAAAGTTTGGTAGTTGTTGTTCTCTTTGACATCTGGTGGGAGGGCGTTCCACAGGGCGTGTGCCACTACTGAGAAGGCCCTCTGCCTGGTTCCCTGTAACTTGGCTTCTCGCAGGGAGGAAACTGCCAGAAGGCCCTCGGCTCTGGACCTCAGTGCCTGGGTAAAACGATGGAGATGGAGACGCACCATGTGGCCAAATTTGTGAATTTATTTTTATGTTGTAAATTGTTACAGGTTGCGTTGTACGATTTTAGATGAAAGTTTCCTTTGTCATCTATTGTAAAGGCCTTTGGCTATAAACAATAAAATTGATTGAATGAGCTTTTAAATAATCCACAAACATTTTTCAGTCCTCCTTAAAGTCTGTCTCTTTTTGATCTCCAATTTAACAAGCCAAACTTGCCAGTTCTACATATTCTGTCAATTTCAGCTGCCATTCTTTTCTAGTAGGTAGCACCTCTTCACGTCATTTTTGAGCTTACAATATTTGCGCTTCCGTTATTGCATAAAGAAATAGATTCACCTGTTTTGGAGCAACATGTGTTCCAGTTATCCCTAATAAAAAGGCCTCTGGTCTTTTTGGGACAGTTAGTTTAAGTATCTTTTTTATCTCATTATAGATCAGCTCCCAAACGTCTTTAGCCACTTTACATGTCCACCACATGTGGGAAAATAAACCTTCTTTACACTTCCAACAGACATCTGATGCTGATTTAGACATCTTTGCCAATTAATATGGTGTTAGGTACCACCTGTATATCATTTTCAGGAAGGTGGGCAAACCATACTAAGACCATGGTTTCCTCCTGGACTTGCTCCAGGGCATGGGAATTGGGGCCAGGGTCTTATAGGACCAAGTCCAGAGAGGGGCATTGGGAGAGGGCCTCTCAGCTATTTAATACCTTTATGAAGCTGCTGGGAGCTTCATCAGCAGTTTGGGGGCAAGGTGCCATCAGTTTGCTGATGACCCACACATGAATCAGGAGAGACCATGCACTCCCTGGACACAGGGGTGAAATGGATGAGGAAAAACCAGCTGAGCTTGAATCCTAGCAAGACAGAGACACAATGGTTGAGTAGCTCCCATGTCTGAGAAACTGGTCAGTTGCCTGCCCTGGGCAGGGTTGCAGTTTGGGGGTGCTTCTGGCACCATTTCTGTCCCTGAAGACTCAGGCAGCTTCATTGGCTAGAAGAGCCTTTTATCAGCTGCAACTGGTTGGGCAGCTGTGGCCATTCCTGGACCCGGAAAGTCTTACAACAGTACTTCATGCATTGGTTATTTCAAGACTGGATTACTGCAGTGCGCTGCATGTTGGGCTGCCCTTGCACCTGATCCAGAAGCACAATTGCTGATAGGAGTGAGGCCTTGTCTGCGTATGTCACCTGTGCTCAGAGAGCTGCCCTGGCTGCTGATTTGCTACTGGGCCAAATTCAAGGTAAAGTCCATAACAACTTGGGACCAGTGTAGCTTCGAGATCCCCTCACTCTACATGTGCCACTTTGATTGGCAGAATTGGCACTAAAACAGGTGCCAGATGACACACACCTGTTCTGCATTTGTCAGAACTCAGTCATTTCATATGGTAGCAGCTGCACTCTGGAACTCCCTGCCTGTTGAGGGAGTTTGCTGTACAGTTACTCGTTTTGGCTCCTGCTAAAAACATCATTGTTTAGACAAGCTGACTCAGATGCTTAGAAAGTTGAGGTAGCTTTCAACTTCAATACATAACATTAACTTGTATATTAAGCCAGGGGTAGTTAACCTAAGGCCCGGGGGCCGAATGCGGCCCAGTCGCCTTCTCAATCCAGCCCGTGGACGGTCCGGGAATCAGCGTGTTTTTACATGAGTAGAATGTGTGCTTTTATTTAAAATGCATCTCTGGGTTATTTGTGGGGCATAGGAATTCATTCATTCATTTATTTTTCAAAATATAGTCTGGCCCACCACATGGTCTGAGGGACGATGGACCGGCCCACGGCTGAAAAAGGTTGCGGACCCCTGCTTTAAGCCCAAATCCAATTTGTCATGGCCAGTGGCTAGTACAAGAAAGTTATTTGGATTTGGCTTTAAGTATGGTTGTGATTTTTTCTTGATTTTATTGTCTGAACAAAGAAACACTTTGAGGTATCTTACAATCAAGCGGTGTATACATTTCCTGAAACAAATAAGATGTAGACTAGGAATTAATTATCTGAGAGGGGGAGACGTGGAATCAAGGACCCCGAATCACCAGCAATTTCCCACACAGGCCAGCACTGTAATGCTGCCCCCAACGGTCATGTCGCCTCCTGTGTTTTGGCTTCCACAAGGTGCTGGAGGAAGCCGGTGACAAATGTATTTGCCATTCCAGCCTGCTCGGACTGCAGTCAGGGGCCCTGCAATGCCTCAGTGGAGCAGCCACGAAGAGGGGTGTCGCAGTGCCATCGGGGAGTCATTTGCGTGTGAGCTGCTTGGACCTCTGTGCACATTGGGGTGGCTTTATATCTGGAGACCTTGGCAGAAACCTCCATGCAAACTGCCAGCATTTCATGGCAGTATTTCTTCAGCGTTACTCACGAGAGGACTTCTTCTGCAGTTGGACCTCCGCAAATCGGTCGCTTTCTTTTACCAGATTTGCTTTAGGTGGAGGTTCACTGGAATGCTTAGGAGAGCCAGAAGAGAAATTTTGAGAAGGATCATGCCTGACAAAAACAAAATGGAAGGAAAGGATCACTTACTTATTAGTTGTCAGAATAAACCAATACTGGCTGAATATTTATGCATCTGGAACCTACCCAGAGGGATCTGCTTCTTGGGAGGGCTTACAGGATGCATCTGGATTTTCTTGCCTGCCATCGTGCTGGAGGGATGTTAATATTGCGTCTTGTTTCTGGGGCTCAGTGGATTTTCTTGTTGTGTTGCTTAGTTCTGGAAGGCAAGCAGCAATAAATAAACTTCCTCTGAAGTCAGCTGAAGATGCCTAGACACATGGCAAATAAACAAAAAAACACTTCTGACTTTGCAGGATCCTGGTATTATACTTGCAGGAAGAAAACACCCTTTTGTGGAAACATACAAGACTACAACTCTTTAGCCCTGCCTTGACCAGTTGCAGAACCAGAGTTGTACTTCACGTTAAAAGGCTACATGTTTCCCTTTACATGGAGGCAGCTACTAATGGCTAATTATTTACACCTGTTTACACATATCCAGATGGACATGACTTTGTGGGCTAACATAATAAAATCAGCCTCAAGGAATCTAGATGGGATTTACTTACTTACTTAAGGTAAAGGTAAAGGGACCCCTGACCATTAGGTCCAGTCGTGGCCAACTCTGGGGTTGCGGCGCTCATCTCGCTTTACTGACCGAGGGAGCCGTTGTACAGCTTCTGGGTCATGTGGCCAGCATGACTAAGCCGCTTCTGGCGAACCAGAGCAGCGCACGGAAACACCATTTACCTTCCCGACGGAGCAGTACCTATTTATTTACTTGCACTTTGACATGCTTTCAAACTGCTAGGTTGGCAGGAGCTGGGACCGAGCAATGGGAGCTCACCCTGTCACGGGGATTTGAACCGCCGACCTTCTGATCAGCAAGTCCTAGGCTCTGTGGTTTAACCCACAGTGCCACCCACGTCCCACTTACTTACTTACTGGCAGCTAAAAACATATACAATATATTAGTTTAAAAGTAATTAAACTATAATAAAATTAAAATAATATCAAAACAAACAATAAAATACAGAGAGTAACAACTGCACAGCACAATTCAAAGCCCTTTCCTTCAAATCAGTTGGTTCCCCAAAGCCTGCCAGAATGATACTGTCTTCCCCTGCAGGTGGAAGGACTGTGAGGAAGGAGCTGGCCTGGCCTCCAAAGTCTGGGAACTGCTACCAAAAAGGCCCTCAGGTGAAGCCCTCCCCCTCTGTGCCTCTGCATGAGGTACCTCTGGAATTTGTTTTGATTGGTTCATGACGCGCTCTGCTTTCTTTTAATTGCACAAGAGACTTGTGCCCCTTAGCATCCAGCAAATTTTCTTTGCCCTGTGTGACATACCCTCCAACATTTCTGCGATGAAAATAGGGATGTCTCTTTCCATAATCATAATTTTACTAATTATACCCCACACATCTTACTGGGTTGCTCCAGTGACTCTGGGCAGCTTCCAACATATATAAAAACATAATAAAACATTTTAAAAAACCTTCCCTAAACTGGATTGCCTTCAGACAGCTTGGGGTTTGGATAACTCCAGATTCTGCCCAAATACCTGTTTTCCAGCTTTAGCTAGCCTCTTTTCCTTGCTATTTATTAAATTTGTATACTGTCCTTCATTCACAGATCTCAGGACAGTTAACAACATAAAAACACAAAATACATAATACATAAAAAGCCAACATCCCCCTCCCATAAACACATTTTAAAAGGGCATTGGACGACAATCTGTCAAAGGCCTGGTTAAAGAGGAACATTTTCGCCTGGCAACATAAGGTGTAAAAAAAGGTAGGTAAAGTTAAAGGACCCTTGGACAGTTAAGTCCAGTCAAAGGTGACTATGGGGTTGCGGTGCTCATCTTGCTTCAGGCCAAGGGAGCCAGCGTTTGTCCACAGACAACTTTCCGGGTCTTGTGGCCAGCATGACTAAACCGCTTCTGGCACAACAGGACACCAAGACAGAAACACCATTTATCTTCCCACTGCAGTGATACCTTTTTATCTACTTGCACTGGCGCACTTTCAAACCGCTAGGTTGGCAGGAGCTGGGACAGAACAACAGGAGCCGACCCCGTCGCAGGGATTCAAGTTGCTGACCTTCTGATCAGCAAGCCCAAGGGGCTCAGCGATTTAAACCACAGCACCACCTGCATCCCTAACTTATTAGCCAGGTTGTAATGAAATGTGAATCACAGCCGACAGAGTTTGAGTTTTTGATAACATGGTCACAAAATGAACAGCTACGAGGCAGTGAATCCCTTCCCTGCAGATGGCACAAGCACATAGGAATATATCTCGTACCAGGTCAGAGCATTTCTCACTTTAATTCACTTGTTAAATGCAGCAGTGCAGCAATTAAACATTAAGCCACGGAAGGCACAGGAACACAGGAAGCTGCCTTAGGCTGAGTCAGACCAGGGCTGTCTGCACTGACTGCCACGGCTCTCCAGGGTTTCAGGAAGGAGTAATTCCCAGCCTTTCCTGGCAATGCTGGGTTCAAACCTGGGACTTTCTATACAAAGCATGAGCTCTGCTGCTGAGTTATGGCTCCTCCCAAGTCCTAATGGCAGGCAACAAAATCATTCTGATTCAAAATTTAGCCTTAGACTGAGAAACAATGCATTACCAGCAGCCCTCCCCATGCTTGCTATGCTCTGCACTCATTTGACTCTAAGCTGCAAGGGCCCAGGGGTCTTTGCACCAGGGAGTTTCAGTACAAACCCCCATCTGCGCCCGCCATCCTGCTGTCGCCTGGGTGCCAAGGAAACAGAAGCAAACAAAACAAGGGAATTCCAGTGAGATTGTCTGCTCCCTACTTAGATTTCTCAAGGACTGAGGTCATTCAACAAGGTCAGGTTCATGACCTTGTTCCTTCAAACACCCTGAAAAATAGACATCCTGTAACTAGATGCAAAATTTACAAAAACCATTCATCAAAATCTATAAACAAATCCAAACTTATGATTTTAGCATAAGGTAAATCCATACACAAATTTTTGGCCACCACAGTCCTGAGGAGTCACTGCTACTAGGCGTTGGCTGCTCTGACCTGCTTTTGTGCAGCGAACAAATCCGTGGCCCTCCCGGTGCCTCCAAGCCCAGAAGCTGAAATGGGGAAACGTGTCTAAGGGCAGAGAGGTTATGGAAGCCTTTGACCCAGCAGATCATGGCATCTTTGCAACGTAGCCTGGGCTGAGCTGGGACCTCGCAAAGGACCTGTCCAGGAGAAGCCCTTCACTCAGCGAGTGTCCTGTCCACGGTCGGCGGCTCGGTCGGCCCCTCGGGGTCTTCAGGGGAGGCACCTCTCGAGAAGGCTTTCCTTGGGAACTAGGGATCGGGATGAGCCTCTTCCTCCTGACCAGAGGCAGGAATGGGAGCGAAGCGCCCTTGAGAGCCTGCAGACGGTGCACATTCCCCGTTCCGATGGGCCCATGTCTCCTGCCGCCGTTTCCCGCAAAGAACTACACGTGTTTTCAGCTACATGGATTAAAGCAATAGCAGCCGTGGCATTTCTAAGGGCAAGGGCATGCGGGCTTCATCCTGGGAAAAGTCAAGCCAGCCTCAAGGACATCCGGGCACCGGGATGGCAGCAGAACTGGCAGAGTTGGTCGGAAAGGGACGGGGTCTCCACTTGGAGAGCAGGACCCTTTGCGCAGACAGCGCCATCACAAAAGAAGGTTCTGCACACCTGGGAGCAAGAGGGTGCAGCGCCTCAGCAGGCCAGCGCGGCCGGAACAGGGGCCAGAGGTTCCACTTACCAGCATCCAACAGACCAAGCACCGCGGCCCATGCCAGCATCTCCGCTTGCCGGGTCAACTTGGCTAGAGGCCCCTCCCCATCTTTCCCCTTTTTCTTCCTAATTTAACACTAACGTCTCGCAACAAATGAAACTGATCCGTAGAAAACGCAACTTGAAAAAAGAGACATTGCACATACTTTTGTAAACCAAGAAATCTTAAACAAACAAACAAATAGAACTTGGCCGGAGGGTTCCAAGTGCCTCCTATATTGGGACCGCGCAGCAGAGACTGAGGAGGCTCTTATCCCCGGACCAGGATGCTGAGGTTCGGCCGGAAGTCTCTGCTCTGCTCCAGTGATCCAGAGCTCCAGTGAACCTGTACTCCGGAGATCCTGCCTGCTCCAGATGTGCATGCATAATGTTGCAGCTAGCATCGTTAGTGTGAATAACGTAGCGTGCTATATTGTGCATCAGTTTCCCAACAGTATAGTGAGAGGATGGAATTCATGGAATCTTCTGCCCCCACAAGGACCACTCATTTAGAAATAGGAAATCTGTGTATTAGTATTAGGTAGAAGGAATAACAATGCTGCCCCCTTAAGAAAAGGTTTGGCCTTCCCCTCTTTTTATACCCCAAGGCAGGTTGGGAAATGTAGGCACAGCCACACGGGAGAAGCCTCCCTTCCTGCCTGGGTTCAGTCTCCCGCTTGCCCAAGCAGGGAGAGGGGCGAGCGAGCTCCTTCTTGCCCAGCTCCACAAGGAGCGGCATCCAAAGCGTCCAGCCACTTTCGCTCAGAGCCCAAGAGCAGCCTCTTGGAGTGCCAGTGAATAGTTCTACCTGTGCCTCGATTCTCTTCAATACACCTATGGAGGAGAGCTTCGTGGAGGTTTGTTGAATGCTCTCCAGATTGAGAGAGAAGCCTCAGGGCGTCATAGATCCCTGACCTGCTAGCATCCAGTCAGTGATATAACTTGCAGGTCTCCATCACAGCAATCCATCACAGTAAGTGCATACTGTATAGGGATGTGCTAAAACAATGATTCATCCCAGAGTTTGTGGAATTTTTGTCCCCTCTCCAAATTTTAAATTAAAGAAAAATTAAAAAGAGAATAGATTCAAAAGGAATTGTTTAGCTGTGATTCCTGCATGACAGGGGTTGGACTAGATGACCCTCAGGATACCTCTAGAATTCTCTGAGTCTGTGATTCTCAGTTGGCCCACTAGCAAAAGCCAGTGAGAGACTTCACACCAGTGCAGCGGAGCTTTCCCCTCAGGGTCCCCCCACTTCTGTCCTCCCCCCATAAAACACTCTGCAGAATCAGAAGAACTATGCAGGAGAAATGCTCTTGAGAGAGAAGGCAGAATTGCTCAGCCCCTACTGTGCCATTCTTCCATCTGGCAAGCAGAAATGTTTGTGCTGGCTGAACAATCCTCATAGCGCAATGTTGAATTCCACCCTTAATTTTCAGTTCTAGCAATTTGTTCTTTGCCATTCCTCTTGGATATATTTTTGCAGTTGCAACTCGCCCACCCCCACCCCATTTCCCTTGTTGCACATGGAGAGTCTTGGCCACCACACTGGGGGTTCCTTTGCACCCATCAAGTATTTCAGTCGCGTTGAGAGTTTTCCAACCGTCTTCAGAGGATATTCTTTTGCTTGCTTTTCTCAAAAGGTACTGAGCCATTTCCACCTTCTTACTGCAACCCAGCCTCATTTGCAAATGGGTGGTAGTCTAGTGTAACCACTGATTACTCTTGGGGGAGCTCTCCAGGTGCCGTGCGCAAAGCAAGGCCTGGATGTTCAGGGCTCTAATGCGTCTCCCTTTCCTGCTCAATCTGCATCTACAGTACGTCAGCCAGTTCAACTGAGGTGCAAAGCTTTTAAGATTATGCAACTGAATTATTTCAGTTTAATTTGACTGTGGTTCAGGCTGCAAGTAACAAGAGCTGTCAGCCTTAAGTAGGTCAATTTATTTATTTAAGCCAATACATTTTCGGCATTTTACAACTGATGGCTAAAACAACAAAAATGTACCGAGTGCTACTCACACACACACACACACACCCTCAGCATAACTATGTACTGAACAAACATGGAGTAAGTTTAAGTCTTAGTACCTTGGCTTACTTGTAAAGCACTCTTCATAAAATGTGGTATTTTCATAATCATGACTACAGATAAGCCATACCAAGCATATTACAGTTCCACTAATAGTAGGATTCATCTAAATGTGACGAATCCCACTCATGTCTTTTCTCTTAGAATAAATGTTAATCACAATACACCAAATGTGGGGATGGTGAGAAACAGTGACCTGACTAAAAATTATGTAACTATCCCAGAAATTAAATGAGAAATGGCTTTGTGACTCTTCCGCCAATCTTCCTGCCACTGCCATTTTCACAATCCATTGTATTCATCAGGGCATTGACTGAGGAGTAAGTCTGCTGGAACTCAGTGGACCATTCTGAGTCAAAATAAACACTATCATTACCTGATTTCTTTCATTCCCCAGAGGGGAAAAGACATTCTTGGGCAGGGCTTTCCAAGCCACCTGCTGCCACTGGCAAGACTCTGAGAAGAGGCAGAGCTTCTGTTTAATACTGTTTATTAATTTTCAATTATTAAAGTCCAATATAAACCACATTTTATCAATGTAAAATTACAATTCATATTCAAATATTCAGTGGTACCTCAGGTTACATACGCTTCAGGTTACAGACTCCGCTAACCCAGAAATAGTGCTTCAGGTTAAGAACTTTGCTTCAGGATGAGAACAGAAATCGTGCTCCGGCGGCGCGGCAGCAGCAGGAGGCCCCATTAGCTAAAGTGGTGCTTCAGGTTAAGAACAGTTTCAGGTTAAGTACGGACCTCCGGAACGAACTAAGTACTTAACCTGAGGTACCACTGTATATCAATTATAAAGCCAATTATACATTTTGTTACTTTCCACATGCTAGATTTCTAGGTGAAATGATTTGATTTCATCCTGCTTCCAAGTTTTGATTAATCCCATTACATTCAGTCTTGATCTTAGTCCTTTATCAACAGCTACAGAGTTTTTGACTTCCATTCGAAAAACACATTTATTAAAAAGAAATCCTGCAAGAAGAGTTCTGTATCCCAAATGTTTCCTGCGTGTGATGTTTATCTCATCCATGCTGTCTTCATTCTTCCTGTTCTCCATCTTTTTTGCATCGCTACTTCCGCTTTTTCACTCTTTCTTTTCCTTTGTTCCCAGAAAATGAGGCTGTATTTTCGACTGCATCACATGCCATCTTTTTTTGTTTGTTTGTTATTGTTTGAGTCTAAATTAAGAGTGAACTGGCATCCCACCAATGCTTTAACAAGACTCCAGTATCTCCTCCTTGGTCAACTCTCTCAATAACGATCTGGTGTCCCGCCAAAGCCTTGGCAGATCTTCAAAGCCCAAAGTCCGGGTCCTCCCATAGCAATACAGTGAAAGTTTGATGCTTTAAATCCATTTCAATTTTCTCACACAGTTCTAGTTTTTGTTGTAATCCATAAATATAATCCCATTCTCTTTTATCTCTTCTTGCCTGTTAGCAGTTTATTAGCATTCGGGGGGGGGGGGGTGTCGCTGAATCATTTATGTAGCAAAGGGTATACGCTCCCCCCACACACACACATATACCGTATTGAAGGAAGTCTTCTTTTCAATTTGAGTCGTAACAGCTTTGTAGCTGTTTCAGTTTGGCAGTTTATGATCTTGTCCCATCTATTCCAGCAAGCGTCTATATATTAGTTCTATTTCACTCTAATACACAGAAGTGCCTCTGCTTCATTAATGGCTGCGTAGGGGGCTTACTGAGAGGAGAAATGCTTTTGTACTCGGCGTCTCCCTGCCTCCCAGATTCCATGCCAGAGCGAGAGCCAGGTACCGAGCAATCTGCAAGTGAAGCTCACTCCCCCTGGGCCCTAGGGGGAGCTTGCAAGGACAATTACCCTAAAATCACCCTTGTTTATCTTTGCCGACGGTCTCTGCTATCGTGGGAGCAGCATCCATAAGGCAGACAGGAACCAGAAGTCAGAAGAGGCAGAACTTCCACCACATCTGCCACCTGGACTCTCACGGCGGTGGCAGTGGAAGGAAGGAGGGCAGGCAGGATGAACCCAATTCCTGTGCCAACTTGACAACCCTGGCAGAGGGATAGGCCTTGCATCTGGCTTTGCATTGGCCAGTGCCAGCTGGGAGAGCAGCTCAGCATCTAGTAGATCCCCAGCTAACTCAGACCTGTCCTCAGAGAGCTGCACTTCAGCACCTTCCACTGGGCTCCAATGGCAGGAATCCCAACGAGCTTTCTGCCGGTGCGCATGTTTGGGAGGCAGAAGGCAGAGAGGTCTGTGTTGGTGGAGGGATGCAAGTTTCGCTTTCTTAATCACTGCCCGTTCTTGGAAGGGCTCTGCAACCAGGCCTCTCTCAAGGAAAATGTATTTCTGGAGCAATTACTTTCTCTGTAAAAGTGTGCATGTGTATGCAGTAGATTTCTAGTTAGCATCTGCTCTTACCACTATTACATTTCCAAACTCATTTCCAAACTACTTTTCTGTGTTCAGGAGATAAACCCTTCAAGAACATGAGCAACTGGGAGAATTTAGCTCAGATGTCCATTTCGCTCTGCAGCTCTGCCTCTTTTCCAGAGAACAAGCTGTTGTCTGTTGGTTAGAGCTTAATCACAACCAGCATATATTTTTTTATCTAAAACAGAAGAATCAAGGGATTGTGTAGTCAACAAAGTTGAGATCAGAACTTTTCTGGGAAATGATTTTTTAATGACAAAGTCTTACAAAATAGCAGCTGAGTGGTTAACAACTGGAGACTTCCCATGAAGGCAGGGAGAAATTGAGGGAAATTTTCACTAAAGGTAGAGATTCAGTGAAGGATATCATTGTAGCCAAGCCTTTATTCAGTTCTGCCAAGTCCAGGAGACAAAGAGGAACCCTTTACTGGGATCCCACGGCCATTTCATCAACAAATTGGCAAACCAAAACAATCTCTGGTGATCGTGGCCATTTCGAGCCAGGCCCAACCTTGTTTCCTCTTGCTGATTCGTAAGTCCCATCACACTCAATGGGACATTCATGTACCAAATGTCTACTGCTGCTCCATAACATAAAGTCTCTGGGAAGCTCACAGAACAAATGCAACAATTAAAGACAGCACAGTATGGGGGTGGGGGTGGAAACAGGTAGAGTCCTGGACTTCTGCCGCAATTGGTGCCAAAGATTAGCGGGAGCGGTGAAACACGCAGGAACACAGGAAGCTGCCTTCTGCCAAGTCAGGTCATTGGTCCACGCAGCTCAGCCCGGTTTTCCCTGACTGGCAGGGGATCTCCAGGCCTTCAGACATAGACCTTTCTAGCCTGATCTGCAGATGTGAGGACTGAGCCCGGGACCTTCTGCATGCACGGGAGATGCCTCCCCCCGGACCCCCCCCCCCGTGAGGTGCCGGGTGAGGAGAAGTTCCCGGGGAGGGGAGAAAAGACTAATAGACATAGGAAATGTATTTTACAGAGCCCATTGACCAATCAGGGAGTCCATCCAAAGGGCAGCAGAGGCCACTGGGCTAGCGTGCTGGTGAATGGGCAAGCTGTGCCTTAGGCAAACTGGGCTGCTGCTTTTGCAGCTGTCTTTGTTTCCTTGTATTGTTTGTGGCTCATGAGGATCAGGTCGTTTGGACAGGAGTCTTTCAGCAGACACTCCTGTTTTCGTGCGGAAGAGCTCCCACCCACCCTGCCACCTCTGCCACCCATGGAAAAGCAGCCCTGGCAGGGCAGGGCCCCCCTGCTTCAAGGGAGGGGGAGGAATGGCTCAGGAGCTTGTGTTGCCTGGATCCAGGACTGGGTCAGATTGGATAATACAGATGTATTAGAATTGGAGGGACATGACAACAGGTTTGGATGGCATGCGTATGAATGGTACAATAAAGGGAAAATACATAAAGGATTCTATAACCATATAAGCAGAAGATCACTTTCAAAATTATGTGGGAGAGGTATAAAGATCGGTGGCTGTCACCAATAGAAGCAACATCTATAGGAAAATAGATAAGAAGGAAAAATGGCTTGCATATAGGGATCTCTTAACGGAAACGGAAGGGAAATGAAAGTTGAAAGATTTTAAGGATATTAGAGAGCATATAAATGATTCGTTACAATATTTTCAAGAAAATGAGGCATTTAAAGAAGACAAAAAGAAAGGATTTAGTTATACTCTGTCTAGATTTCAAAGAGAAATTGTAGATGATAATATAAAACGATGAAGAAGATGTATAGTCTGCTGTTAGAGTGGAAAACTAAAGATGAAGAAGTTAGATCTGTAATGATTAAGTGGGCACAAGATATGGGACATAATATACAAATGCAAAAGTGGGGGAAATTAAGGAAAATTTATTTAAAATTTACGGATTGTGTAATTTTGAAAGAGAATTATATGAAAAGGATGTATCAGTGGTACATGACTCCAGTTAAATTAACCAAAATGTACAAAACAATTTCCAGTATATGCAGGAAGTGCAAAAGAGAAAGAAGGGATGTTTTACCACATGTGGTGGAATTGTAGAATAATTAAAAGTTATTGGGAAGAGATTTATAGTGAAAAGAAAAAGATGTTTAAAATAACATTTAATAAAAAAAAGAAGCTTTCTTATTAGGCATTACAGAACAAGAAATACCAAAAGAATTCAAGGATTTATTTATGTATGCCACAACAGCTGCCAGGATCCTTTTAGCCCAAAGATGGAAGGACAACAAGATGCCAACAAAAGAAGACTGGCAACTTAGATTGATGGAATACACAGAAATGGTGAAAATTACAGCTAAATTAAGAGATAAAGATAATAGAGAATTTTAAAAAGACTGGAATACATTTACATTATAAAGTGGTACCTCAAGTTAAGAACTTAATTCGTTCCAGAGGTCCGTTCTTAACCTGAAACTGTTCTTAACCTGAAGCACCACTTTAGCTAATGGGGCCTCCTGCTGCTGCCGTGCCGCCGGAGCACAATTTCTGTTCTCATCCAGAAGCAAAGTTCTTAACCCGAGGTACTATTTCTGGGTTAGCAGAGTCTGTAACCTGAAGCATCTGTAACCTGAAGCGTATGTAACCCGAGGTACCACTGTATATGCAGAAATACTGTTTTTTTAAAAAAGGCTCATTAGCAGGGTTTGAGTAAAATAGAATGTGAAAGATGTAGAAGAATGATTTGAAAACAAATAGGTAGAATATGGGATTTTAATGGTTTGGTATAAAATTTGGAAAAAATAGAGCATTTAGGCAAAGGAGAATGATATTAAGATATTTTAAAATATGCAGAATGAGAAAATATTTTTAAAAGATCCAAAAGGGGAGGTTGAGGGAAGTCCCAGGGTGGGGGGAAAGGGGGTGCATGTTTATTGCTTTGTGTGATTTATGTTGATAGATTATGTTGATTAAAATGTCAAACTTAATTTTAAAAATTATTTTTTTTTTAAGGAGTAATTTCCCACTTTCTGAGAGAGGGAGAAGAAAAACATTTAAAACACTGGGGAGAGAAAGATAGAGAAAACCACTTTTTTAATACATGAAAATAAAAACTTTGTTTAGCACTTAAAGGGAGAAGAAAAAGACTTTGGGCTTGTCCACTTTCCACTTGACCCGTGCCTAGAAAGAACAAGTCCCAGTGGTTTCCCATTTGCCACACTGCTTTCCCCAGGAAAACCCGCTCTTTAGCATGGAATCGGAGCAAACGACAATGCGCAGAAAATCTGATTGTTGTTTGCTCCAATTCAGCAGGAAATAGCAGGTTTTCCCAGGGGGAAGCAGTGCCACAAGTGAAGTCTGGGTGAGCCCTTTGTGGGGAGGTAAATGTATAGCAAAGCAAGTTGTTGTTTTTTAAAGCTGTATTTCATGAGTCATGGGAATATGGGACAAGAATTCGCTGAAATATATTTAATTGAAGTAAGAAAACAGGAATACTAGCAGCCCTACTTGTCAGCAGGGAACCTAGAAAGAGAACCTAAGAGACCATTCTTAGCAAAAGAACATTAGCAGGTTTCCAGGAGAAAAAAAATCCATCACCCAGGCCTGGACTCTCTACTCTGGAAGAGCGCCCGGACAGTGCTAAGTTCAAAATATGGCTTTTGAAATGTGCTCTAATGCGGCTGCCATTTGATTCCAGGAAATTTCACAAAATCTGGATGCCCCGTAGACACGAAGAAACAAATAATCCTAAATATCTTTTAGCGTCATCTTCTACAATTTAATTTCCATTTTTCCTTCATGGTCATCGATCCATGGCAACTCATCTCCTGGTTGGACCCTGGGTTCTTCTCCCTGCCACACTGGAGCTGAGAGGCAGGTCAGTCACAGATTTTATCTCCAGTTTAGAAATCGGCAGAGGCAGCAAGCAAGGACAGCCGTTTACATGAACCAGTCTACTTTAAGATAATACTCTTCCGGTAGTTATTAAGGTCTTGGACTGAGGTGCTTACGTTTTCTTCGTGTCCTTGGAAGGGAGGAAGAGGAGTACTAAAAGATGGCCAGCTCCACCTACCACTGGCTGTCCTGCTCTCTGCCCTCAGTTCTTCCCGTCCAGATGGACACCAGTCATCACTGCTGAGTGACATTTTAGTTGCATAGGCTTTTAACTACAAAAGTAAGATGGCCAAAGGCCTGTTTGACTCCGCAGTCACCAGATGCTGTGGAGGCTGCATACGAAAAAGCGTCAGCAGGAGCAGAGACAAAAATGCATGGGTAGTTCGTGATCTAAGGGCACAAAGACAGAGAGGCATAGCTGTCTAGACCTACAGGAAGAGTACTAGCAGAACAGATTATAGAAATAGTTAACTTAAAGTTTAGAAAGGGCTGAGCATCTATCTGAAGGACTGAGGGAAAATGTCAGCCCCTTGACACACACTTCACATGCCAAGGACCCAGTGTTAAATGGCTTTGTTTTTGTTTTGTACAATTTTATTTGTGTGCAGCAGAAGAGTTAACTAGCAGCACTGTAGGTTCGGGAAGAAGGAAAGGAAGCCTTATTAACTCCTTGGAATTCTTGTCAGGCTATTAATGCCTGGTAGACATAAGAAACGCAGAAAACATTTTATCACCTTTACTATATCTAAGGCCACTGAGCAGTTTCACATCAGGGATCCATGTGTGCAAACCAGCCAACAACTTCCAGCAGAAATGACTTGAACCGGTTATAAAAGCAAGGAGCCTAGTTCATGTTTACAGGATCAGGCCCGCTCCGATCCTGCTGAAAGCTTGGGCTGTTACTTCTGGGAATGCTTGGGCCACCGAGGAAGATTTTGGTTGTGTTCAGACCCTAAGGCCAGATGAACAGGATGAAACAGCTGTTTTCTCAGTTGCAGCAACTTCATACCCTTCAAGGGCCTCGATTTTCCAGGGACCATCCTGGAATTACAAAACCCGGCTCCTGATTTGATCCCAGAATGTCCCTATTCCCCCCCCCCTCCAGTGCTGCTGCTGCTGAGCTGGGGGAGGAGGAGGGCCGGCGCTTGTCCTGAGTGACGGGGGCTGCAAGGGAGCACCCCATGGCCTCTCCACCCTTGGGCAGCTTGTAGTGGCTGCTGGAGAGCAGGTGAGGAAGAGGAGGAGAGGATGCCGCCACCAGCAGAGGGGCCCAGCCCCACACAATGCCCTGGCTCTGAGGGGCAGGCAGAGGGCAGGGCCACCCTGGGTGGCAAAGCGTCTTGATTTTTTTTAAAAAAAAATGTTTAGTTCATCCATGTCTAGCCTTGCTCCCTTGTAAAATTTAGGTTTTGTGTGTGCTTTTCTTGTTGTAAATCTAGCAAAGAATAAAACAAAACAAAATCAAGATTAAGGGGTTTTCTCAGGGTGCTGGAGGTGCGCTGTGCCCTGTTGGCTTAGGGGTGACAGCACTCGCCTTACTTCGGACAGGAAATGCTCTGGAGGGGAGCAAAAATGGGAAGGAGGGAGAAATGTCCCTATTTTCATCTAAGGAATGTTGGAAGGTCTGCAGTTTTGGGGAATCTGTACAAAAATCATTTATGTTCTAGTGCATTTACCTGAAACAGAAGATTGATGTTTTTTTAAAAAAAATTGAAGCAAGTAAATTCATCCTGGTGTGGTTTTTTTAAGCCACTCTTGCTCCCATTGTATTCCTGCAATGCAACTGTGAAAAAAACTATTTTTGGTGGGAAAGGGGGAATATAATACTGTATATGAAATATTTATGCATAACTGCTAATAAGAAAACTACAGTTTAGTATCAGTAAGGCACTGCACAGCAGTGTGTGTGTGTGTGTGTGTGTGTGTGTGTGCACGCGCGCACTCTCACAAACACTCACAAAACCTTTCAACCTTTGAGGTTTTTAACAGTTTACTCACCACTGACAACTTCTGCAATAACAAGCCCCCATGGGAAAAATATTGGATGGGGGGAAAGGATGGGGGAACTTGTATTGGGAGAAGGATTTTATCCCTGAGATAACAGTTTTTTAAAAAATTGCTGCCACTAAAGCAAGATTTGAAACAGCCTTAAATAACAAGACAGAATATTGAGCATCCAAGCACCAAGATAGTTTCATAGTGTGAGAATACTCAGTTCTGAAGGTTTGGTTTTTTTGTACATGGGTTAATTCCACAATTTCCCAATGTTGCAAACCTTATCATGACTTACTGCTTCGGTTCCCTCTTCACCAACACTGTATTTTAATCACCTCTAGGCAGAGTCATAGCCAGGTGATCTTGCGCCCCTGGCAGAACCATCCAAATTGCACCCCCAGCCATGGACAAATTAGCTCTTCTTCCCTCCTCTCTTCCAACCCGACCCCCCCCCCCATTCAATTCACCCTCTATTTAAAACCATTTCTTATGAGGCAATAATCAATATTTATATTTATGGACATATTTTTCAGACGATTTTGTGCCCCCCAATTGCCTGTGCCTCTGGCGGAGACCCACCTCGCCAACCCCTAGCTACAGCCCTGCCTCTAGTAGGATCCTGATTGTTAAAACAATATACAAGCAAATCTCATCCTTGCCAGGTATGTGGTAAAAAAAATCCATGATATAGATGCTTTCAAATCAATATAAAGTGAGTTTTTTGTCTGGTATGTCCCCTCTGCTCCAAAAAAACCAGCAACAGCAATAGATGTCTGTGAGCAAAACCCTGATTGCAATTTGCCTGGGGAAAATGGAGGCAAAGCTTAAGGTTAGCTTGCCTTGGGAACTCTTGAGTTTCCCCTCTTCCCTGAGTAGCAACAGGTTTAGAGGATGCTGTGACTGCTGGACCAGGTGGTAGCAGTGGCCAGCTGTTAGTAGTAACGGTTTAGGCTCCTGGTCCCTGGGATATCTGGCTGCCCATTCATCCAAATCTCTCGTATGATGCGCTCCCTTTCTTCCAGCCTTTGAGCTCGCTCTAGCTCCTCAGCCGAGGTGAAAACGTTCATATTCAGCGTTCTTTCAAACCTGCGGTGCCGTCGAGCAGACAGGTCAGACGCAGTGTCTGAGTCATCGTCGCTGTCACTGCCATCGGTGTCACTGTCCCGCGATGGCTTTTTGGTTTGCAATGGTTTGCAATCAGTTTGACAGGAGATTCGGAGTACTAAAACCAGCAAGGTCAGGAGAAGGCCTGCACAAATGCCAGACACAAAATACAAAGCAGCTCGCTCAGGATTTTCTGAAATGTAGAAGAGGAAATGTTTTTTAAAGGGTGCAGAGGAATAAAATGATATGCCCAACAAAGAAAACGTGAATTCTAAACAGCTTTGTAATCCTTTGGCTTTCTACCAAACAAGGGGACAGAGATAAGTTTGAGCCTCAGAGTAGGGTGGGGTGGGGTGGGGTGGGGGGAGGAAAGGGATGTGAGGCTCATATTAAGAAAATGTAGATGAGGAGATCTAGTTGAGACACAATCTGTTGTGGGAGATGCGGTGGGGGACTGAACACACGCCTGGACCTTCGAGATGCAGGATAAAGAGAACGAGGAGAAAGTCAAAGGAGTAAGTCATTAGAGAAGGCAGTGATCTAGTTAGATGGTGACACACTGAGGTGAGAAATTAAAACGAGACATGCAACTAAAATATCTAATGTGTTTGGGGAAAGTAATTCCTTAAGGAGTGCTTCCAGGCCAAAGTTGTACACGAATGCATCTCATTTGGGGGCCTCCAACGCTAGGAATACAATTTTGGATTTGCTACAGTGCATTCACCCCCTTTTTATGGGACTCCACGTGATGCTGTCATTCAGTCATTGTTACATTGTGACTGGACTAGAGTGTTATAGCAATGCTCATAGAATCATAGAATCATAGAAGAGTTGGAAGAGACCACAAGGGCCATCGAGTCCAACCCCCTGCCAAGCAGGAAACACCATCAGAGCACTCCTGACATATGGTTGTCAAGCCTCTGCTTAAAGACCTCCAAAGAAGGAGACTCCACCACACTCCTTGGCAGCAAATTCCACTGTCGAACAGCTCTTACTGTCAGGAAGTTCTTCCTAATGTTTAGGTGGAATCTTCTTTCTTGTAGCTATAATGAATTATAGCAGTACGGCGTGATGTTAGAATGCTATAATTCTTCCACTGAAAGAAACAGTGGTGAGCATATCGGAAAAGCATTTTAGCAATAATTAAAATAATGATTTAAATATGAATGATAATGGAGGCGAGGTCATAAAATGGCACCATCCACAGAGGTTATACTGAATGTGTGCTGAGCTTCAAACAACCCCGGCCGCTATGGCAGACCTACTGCTGTGGGCAGGACACAGGACAGAGGTACCAGACCCATACTATCGGCTTCCCTCTGCACCAGATTACTTGAGGGACAAAGTGAGGCTGCGACCCGAGACACCCACCCCCACACCCCCAGTCATGCAGCCAAAAGCTGCCCCCTGCCTACCATGCAGGGCCAGCATCCAAGAGCACAGATCCCCATCGCAGCTGCAGGAAGGTTGACTGAAGGGTGAGCTAAGCACCGCAGAAGCACCCACATGGGGGAGGGACCAAGCTAACCTAGGATCCGCTAGATCCTGAGCTGCCTCAAAACTGTCATCTGTCAATCCAGGCACAGTTCTTCCACCAACCCCAGGCTGGGTCTTTTAATTTAGGGGGAAAGTGAGTACGAAGTGACTTGAAAGAAGTTTATAAAATCATGTCTACTGTGGAGAAGGTGGGTAGAGAAGTTTTCCTCCCGGAATTTGTGGGCATCCAATAAAGTGAAATGTTGGCAGATTCAGGAAAGCGCATGGTTCCACGATGGAACTGGCTCTGGGGCAGTGATGCCTGCAACTTGTATGGCTTAAAAGAAGATTAGACAAGATTCATCAAGGGCAAGGCTATCAAAGGTTACTAGGCAAGGTATCTCTATTCTACCTCAGGCATAGGCAAACTCAGCCCTCCAGATGTTTCAGGACTACAACTCCCATCATCCCTAGCTAACAGGACCAGTGGTCAGGGATGATGGCCATTAAGAGAACAATGGATCAAAAGGACTCTGTTTGAGATGGCAAAAGGGTGAGGCTCCTTCCTCCAAAGATAAAGCCAGAGTAGAAAGTGAGAAGAAATGTGATCTAGAAGCTTGGTGTAAGGAAGAGGAGTAATAATATGATGGGCAAACACAGCAGTAAGCAGGAGAGTCAGAGCAATTTTGGAGAGCAATGCTTGAGATCTGTATGAATCCAAAGCTGGGGCTATGAGAGAAACAAGACCCTTTGGGGATGCTAATGCTGGAAACCCCTCCAGAAAAGGCTCACGTTGTGTACATGTGTCTATAAACCATATATCCTAAAGACGCCACAGTTTCTGCTGTGCCTCATTCCCAAAGGAAACATGAACTCTGGAGAAGCGCCTGGAACCCCTGGAATCTTGTACCACTCATGGCGACGGGGGTAGCAGGCTGCTTTCTATTTTTACCCATACCTTGAAAAAAAAGGTATTGTTTTTGTTTAAAAAAGAGTGGAACGATAGGGACAGTCTTAGTTTTAAAAGATAGAATCCTCACACACTGTGCAACCTATTTATATACTGAAAGAATAAGAATATACGTACTAACTTGAAGTCTAGAAGTTAAAAGGCTCCTTGCTGTGGCACTGGTGCAATTCAGCAGAGAGACTCTGTTTTTAAAAAGCTGAAGGAATAGGCATTTCCTCCTTTCACAGAAACAATACTTTGTTTGTTTTCTCCTTGGCAGTGGGGTAGAACCCAAGAAAAAACAGAAAAGCAACAGAATAATGGAATAAAACAGGGCAATCTACTCATCCCTAGCAAATTCAAGTCCTAGCAAATTTAAACATAGGTATGAAACCCATAATTCCCATGTTGCAAAGGAATAATTATATGGGGAAAGGAACTGAAAGATATCATGCAAGGAGTACAACACAAGGGTAGATGAAAGATAAATGTTGTAACCCGAGGAAACATTTATTCAAAATGTTGACATTCCATCAATTACTTCATTTTCACACTTCAGTTGAAGAGAAGCCAAGTTTTCTTGAGCTGAGTAAATATACCTGTATCATTAATTCTCTAAATTACAGGACAGAGAGTTGGCTCCTCAGTGAGGAGGTCTTTAATCTTAAGAATGAAAAAGAAGTATTTGCCACTTTGAAGTTCATAAAGGGATGGACTTCAAATAAGAGCACATTAATAAATCGCTGCTACTACTGAAATAACACGGCAAAATAGAGTAGCGTGATCAACCCCAGCCTCCAGGCACTTTCTCTGTCACTGCCACCCAGGGCCTTGGTAAATCGATGGGTTTGGCCTGGCATCATAAGCCCAGTAAGGTAGCTCCCTGGTCGTAAGAAAGGGCCATCTTCCAGCAGGACAGCAAAGGGCCCCTCTCAGAGCCCAGTTGGCTAATACTGGAAGAGGCCCTCTATTGGAAACATGGGCCCCAAGCCATCTAAAGTTTCCTATATCAGCATTAACGCCCTCAAGGGGGCCCAGGAACCAAGGAGCAGCAACATGGTTCCCCCCAGGTGGGCCAGGGAGCACCTTGGTGACCGTATCGTGCAGCAGCTTCCAGGGCAAACCCGCTTCAAGAAGGAGGGGATCAGAACAGAGGAGGCAGCGCAGCAGCTGGGCTCTCTTCTTCCAACTGCTGAACCAGCCCAAGCTGTTAAAAATCCTTCTCTGGCCAACACTCCACCAATCCTAATTCAGAAATATTGCTATGGCACAGAGGTCTTGAGGTGTCGCCACACACACCGCCCTGGTACATCTGAGGTTGAAGCTCAGCTACTGGCTTGCGGTTTCTGCTTAAATATTTTTGAAAAAAATCAGTAAAGGTATAACAGATTACCTACTGGCTCCTTTGTCTAATAGGGAGAATCTCCACCACCCTTTTTACTTCTCATTCCTTTCATGTGAGACAAGGTTAATGATATGTGGCTGATGATGAATGGGGATAATTAATTGAAGGGGAATTTATTTTGGACTCTGGGTGTTAAACTAATGGAAGAATTGCTGGGGATGATATAAGGTGGGGTCCGATTTAATAGACAAGATTGGGGTGATGTGGTGGGAAACTGGCTGACTTGTTTTATGTGAAATTTAAATCACGATTACTTTAAAATTTGCATATATACATATCAATTAGCACCATGCAAGTTCTATGCAAGTGTGAGTCCTCTTCTGTCCTCTCTTCTGGTGAAGCAGAAGTGTGTACAAAACACAATGAACTAGCAGGGCATCAGAAACCACAGAAAATACACACAACACTCCCTTTTCTGGACTCCTTTAGTTCTCCGGTTGACAAAAACAAATCAAAAAGTTTTAATAATAATAATAATAACGATGATGATGATGATGATGATGCAGCCTTGAAATGTGATCTTCAGATACCCTGGTACAGCCTCACGAAACATCCAGTAAACACAGGGGTCGGCAAACTAAGGTCTGGGGACCGGATGTGGCCCCCCCAGGCTCCTAAATCTGGCCCGCGGACCCTGCCGCCTGCTCGGTCAGTCCCCACATGCTGAGGACGCCTTGCCACACGGGGACTGACGTCCGCGATACTGGCATGGCTTCTGGGCAGGCAGCGACGCTGGCGCAGCTTTGGATTGGCTGCAGGAAGCCACGGACGGCTCTGGGCAGGTGGCAACGCTGGCACAGCTTTGGAGTTCCTGCAGCCAATCCGAAGCCTTGCCGCCCGCGCTCTGCGGTAAACCCGGCATGGGCATGGGCGGAGAGGCCGGCGGGTCTGGGTCGTGCCACGGGCATCGTGACGGGTGTGTCGCGGGGCTTCAGCCGGAGCTTGGCGTGCCTGCTGGCCCTGCGCCTGGCGCTCTGCGTGCGCGGCCTGCCCCTCCGACCTGGCCTCGGACGACGGGCCGCAGCGCTTGGTGCACGCCGCCTGGGAGCTCCGCGGGGACGGGCGGATGGAGCGGCTGTGGCTCATCAACAACGCCGGTGAGCGGGCAGTGCCGAGACGTGCTCCTGAGCATGTGCAGAGTGCATTCCTCCTCCAGGTCCACAGGCAGCTGCGGGACCGGCTTGCAGGGCATTTATATTTTTCAAAATATAGTCCGGCCCCCCACAAGGTCTGAGGGACAGTGGACCGGCCCCCTGATGAAAAAGATAGCTGACCCCCTGAGCAAACAGAAGTGGTGGCCAGAGGGGGGGGCCTACCTGTGACAAAGGAATAGGCGGCCAGGACGTTGCTGAGCAAGGCCATCTTGGTCCCCGTAGGCTCCATTGTCCGGCTGAATACTTTCCTGGGCGCCTCATTGACAGGAAGGAGGACGGTCTGGGTGTTTAGTGGGCAAAAGGCAGCATGCCTCCCTTTCTTCTTTTCTGTTTTGGAATACAAAACAAATGGGGGTGAATCACGCCTGCTCCTAGGCCGGCGGTTCAAGCAAAGCCTTCCTTCTGCCTTTAGACACCCACATTTAGGAACTAAATCCGTGCCGTGAAATGCTTTGGGGGGACTTCAGTCTGCTGTTTGCCTTTAATCCTCTGCTCAGGGTCTGTGCTTGTAGCTGGTTTGCTCAATTTCAGTCCCTCGTGAAACACACCTGAATGATTTACAGCACGAAAATAAACAGAGGCCATTTTTTTCTTTCCTTCCTCTTTTCAGATCAAAAAATATGGTCATGAGAGCTGAGTTCCCTCAAACTGGTAATAATTCAGTGCTGCTTTAGAAATATCAGAGAGGATAAGTGGCACTCTTCTTGCAATTGCAATGGCAATTCTATAGTTTGAGATACACCTGGTAGTTCCCTTTCCCTCCAGCCTTTATTAATCCGAGGGAGAATCTGTAACACCCAGCATGGCTTCCTGGAGGAGCCAGCATTCTTAATGCCTCCCCTTGAGCACAGAAGAAGAGTGCAGTGGACATACATTTTGTTTTGTTTTGTTTTGTTTAACGGTGGTTAAGTCTTTGACCCTGAAAGCCAACCTTTTTGATCTACTCAGATCACTGCTGATAACCTACTGCATCTTGATTGGTTTGCTGACAGCCCAGCCACCTGGGGAAACCGCAATCATTATAACACATGTTAGACAACCAGGCTGGTCGCCTACCCCCCAAAAGAGGGGCGGACGGGTCCAAATATGTAAGACAGAGAGCCTCATAAGGTGGTTTGTCAAAAGGCCCTTGTTTCAATAGCTACATACAAGCACTCAAGGAATCAACCATGTGTTGTCCTTTGGTCCAATTTCTCACAGAAAGATGACAAATAATTGATTGCAAACAACTGACGCTAGAGGTGTGCAGGGAATGCAGAAGATTGTGAATACCAAACTGGTTGATTTAAAGCAGAGGTCGGCAACCTAAGCCCCATGGGTCGGAAGCGGCCCACGAGGGTCGCATAACAGGCCCATGAGCCACCCCCAAACAGAGCCGCCCACTCGGCGAGTCCCCACACGCTGCACTAAACCAGCACAGCACAGCACCAGGACTCTCTTCCGCGGCTCCGGAAATCGCTTCTGCGCATGCCCAAATGCTGGAAATCGTATCTGCGCATGTCCGCGAAGCCAAAAATCACTTTTGCACATGCCCAGACGCCGAAAATTGCTTCTGCACGGTCGTGATTTTCGGCATCTGGGCATGCACAGAAGTGATTTCTGGCATCACACTGCGCTAGCCCAGCCCACGGAGGATCTCCGCGGGAGTGATGTGGCCCATGCCCAGTAAGCCTTGCCGACCCCTGACTTAAAGGGATTCTGGGCTAGTCTCAGGCAAAGCACAATCCGTATGAAGCACCCCAAACCAGAGTGGGAACCCCAAAGCACTTCATGATGCCTCAGCGATTTGGACATTAAAAATAAAAACTTACAGGCAAGTATCTGCTGAAAGCGACACCAATGTCTGTAACCTTACCATAGAAAGAAAACACCAGGGTGGGGAAAGATCCATTGTGACTGACAAATTTATTTTGTCATCACAGGGGAAAGCCAAGGCACAGCTCTGGGAGAGCCCTCCCCCAGGCATGTGGTCAGAGAAAGCCTTGGCAAAGTCCTTCCCTGATTGGAAGCCAGGGCTGTCAGCCACAAGATCACATTGCCCTCCTGCCCCTTCTCCCTGTCTGGCATTTTCTTTCAGGAAGAGTTTGAAGGTCTCTGACTGAAGCTGCACCTCCATGGCAGAATATGTCCAAGGCCTGCTAACAGCACCATAGACGGTGCCTGGAGCCAAAGCTGAACCTCGTGGAGGAGCTTCCAGTAATTCTCACGCATTCTCCATTCTCCTCATCCCTGGGCTGTAGCTCTTGGACACAGAGTAAAGGAAGCCTCTCTGTTTTGGGATTCTCTCCCCGCTCTCTGTTTCTGGCAGGAGACCTGCTTACAGCCCTGCAAGGCCAGTCTGGGTCAGACAGGCAAAGAATTCTCTCCCCCTTGCCTTGGTTTTCCCTCCGCTCCTCTGCTATGGTTATTTATTCCCCCTCCCAGCGCTGCAGTCTTGACAACAGTCCTTCAAGGTTGGTCTCAGCCGCTTGCACACATTTGGAGGGAAAGACTCATTCCTCTCGACCCAAAGCCCTGTGTGGATACATTTTGGCTTGCATGCTGATGAAGGGGACCGTGCGGTGATTGATATATCGTCATTTATCGTTATTTACCCTTAAGTAGTAGCAGTTGCCAGGATGTTACCCTGTTTGCCTCTGCATAATTCCATCCTTATTTCAGACATCATGATATATTGCAATGTTTTGCTGGTGATATATTGCAATGTTGAAAACCAGATATCACCCAGTCCTCACACACGTTGTGATTCACGATATATTGCCAGGTCAGATATTATGAAACAGTTATCATGAAGTAAAATTCAAGCCGGTTTTTGACAATGTATCACCTAGCTCTAGTGTCAACAAATGCCACTTGCATTTCCAGAGAGTAAATCCAGTTCTGACCACGAGCGCATAATCTGAACTGCGGTGGTTTCCCTGCCTGCTTCCTTTCCCTTTCAGTGCCATTTGCCAAGGTGCGCTTCTGAGCCCTCCTTGCTTCACACTCTCCTGGCGCATCTCTTGGCCCAGATCTCCCAGTAGGGCGGCAAAGGTGGTTTCCGTGCCACAGTGAGGCTGAAGGCTAGACTGGAAGCAATATTGATCATCCATTCCACCCAAAACCTCTTCGAACTGTGCCACAACCTCGCTAGCACACATCCTAGAAAGGATACTGGGTGCTGAAAACAGACAGGTCCAGAGATTTTTCTTTCAGTGTCAAAGTTATGGAATCCTCTCTAAGGAAAGCCCTTACAGCTGCCAACCTGGGAGCCAGTCCTGGCAAGGGCTGGGCAACTTTCACAGTAAAATCCTCTGGACAACTAGCATTGATTGAGGTATTTTTAAATCATTAAGTAGCGGGTTATCCTAAGAAAAGGAAATGTTAGCAATTGAATTTTAAGACAACAACCACACAGAACCATGTGAGGAAAACAACTCTTCCTCTCCTCAAAGGAAAGGCCTCCATATAAATCCTGCTGGGCAGAGAAGCAAATCTGTGCAGTTAGAGACAAGCGGATTGTTTCCGTGCGCTTGGTAGGATTCTTCCAGTGGCGCATTCATGCGTGCGGAACTGCTCCTGGCATTGGCAAACAATTCCTGAGCACGACGACAAGGACAGAAACACTTTGTGACAGATCTAACTAGAACACTGTAGTTTCTTGAACAGTTAAAATATATGTTCCAATACAGTAGAGCAGCAGTCCAATCCTATACATGTCTACTCAGAAGTAAGCCCCACAGAGGGTTGCTTTGGGATTGTAGACTTTGCTGCAAGTGTACTTTGCATTCAGCAATAAATCATGATGTGTTTTCCCTTATTTAGCCTTTTTGTAGGTTGGGGTCATTCAACTGAAAATAATTAGGGATGGCTGAGCCAGAGGCTGCTGGAGCTGGAAAAGAATTAGGGCTGCCTTAGACATCAAAACGCCTGGAGGGGAATGAACACTTGTCTGGCCATGCAAGGGGTCCCAGTTCTGCTGGCCAGACAAGAGGCTCTCCTCCTTCTGAGCAGCCAGCATCGAGAGGAAAGGCAAGGCCAGCACCCTCTCTTTTTCCGCTGGCATGCTTTGGTGCTGCTGCCCAGCTTGCAGGCATTTCTCATCTATGCCAGCTGTGGCTTCTGGTGAGATTTTGCCAGCGCTGGTGGAGGGAGTGGGGGGAGTGATGAGCAATCCGTTGGGGGGTCAGATTGGCTGGCTGAAGTGGACTGCTATGTACTTGTTTGCCCAACAGACTGGCGTCTCTATAAATTGAGGTACAGAAGGGAGGTGAGTTCAGAAGGAGTTCAGAAGTTTGAGAAACTCTGACTTCGCCCACAGAGGCATGGGCTTTTTCAGAAAAGCCCTCCACAAGGCCCAGAGACCCAAAGACACAAGCAGCTAGACAGCTACTGATCCCTCTGGCACCCAGGCTATGCCTACTCGGCAGGAAGCCTGGCTGAGACCGAAGAGAATAGGTGAAACAATAGCCCCATAAACCTGTTAAGCCTAGTAATTTATAAACAGACATATTCAACAGCTCCTACATCCTACCAGCAAGGTTGTTACTTGTCAAAACAAAACGCTTAACTGAAAAGTTCTCAGAACAAACTGTAAGTTTAAGAAACTCGTTCGCTGTTCTTTCCTTTCAGAACCCAGCATGCCCTAAACACTCCTCAGTCACTGCAGTCTCTTAACATGTTGAATCCTGCCTTCCGTCTGCCAACAATGCCAGATTGTATCACACTTTGAGCTAAAACTCCTAGCTGGCACCTTTTCTTATTTTCCATTCCCACCCCACATGGGAGGCATGTACACAATGATCACATACTTTTCTATAATGCCTTTTCCCCAAAAATGAACCACAGTGGATGTGCCTGTTGCCACACTGACCCATTTTTTTTAGTCTTCCCTATAGGTGCCCTTACAGTTTACTTCCTGTTTCTGGGTTTATGCTAATAAATGCCAATAAATATTTTTACTAGATAAACGTGGCCTAGTGAGGACTGATCCCTGGTGGGCAGGATGGTGGCTGGCAGCTACAGCCTCTACCTCTCCACCCAGACAGGCTGACTTTCTCTTGGGCATGATGACAACTCTTCAGCTTGCCAGCTCCTTCTAACTCCTTTCCAAGCCTCCAGGTGCAGACAGCAGAAAAACAGCCTTGCTCAAAGCATTTGAGGATAACTTCCAGATCACCCTTTGGAGATAAAGTGATTAGCAGTCAGACGATTATCAATCACCATGTAGTTATCTTCTGTCAACGGGAGCAGAAAGACAGTCGAACATGCATTTCTATACTAATTATTCAACAAAAGTCTAATATTCAGCTACATTTTTGGTATTTATTTATTAATTAAATGTCTATACCATACTTTATTCAAAAATCACAAGGCAGTTTACAATGTAAAAACACAAATATATATATCATAGTAACGAACAAAAACAATACCACCACCAGCCCCCCACCCTGTTTCAAAAGCCATAGTCAAAGGCCAGGGAGAAGAGGAACGATTTTGCCTGGCACCTAAATATTTGTAAGGAAGGCGCCAGGCGAGCCTCCCCGGGGAGAGCATCCAGCAGAGCAGCCCTATGTCTACTCTGAAGTAAGCCCTATTGAATTCGATGGCACTTACTCTTAGGTAAGCAGGGTGTGGGCTGTTACAGAATAAGCAGGGTGTAGTCATATTAGACCATCGAAGCAGGTTTTCTTCACTGAGCCCTTCTCAGATTGCATTGGGCTGATGAAGCAATAAGAGGGACATCATTCTAACCAGATTTCAGCTGACTGAGGAGAAAGACACAACATTCATCAGGATCTGGTCCAAAAAATGAGGCTGTCTAAAGTCAAGAAGATTGTTACTCCTTGTGCTATAGAGGAGGAGGAGCTGGAATAAATTGTGCTGTCCTCTTTTAGGTGCCTTTCGAAAATTTACTATAGATATGGGGTTCCCAATTGGTCTTGCTCAAAGCATGCAAGGAGGGGAGGTTTATTTCTTCTTGCCCATTGATGAAGTTGGGATGAAAACACACACACCCCTTGCCTGGATGCCTCTAATACCCAATGAGGGTGGGAGAGGAGAAAGAGAGGGTTTTTTCTTAGAGGGGGAAAGAGAGAAATCTCCCCTCTCCACAAACTTAGATCAAAAGGGAGCCCCTCATCGGCAAGGAATTTTATAAGAATTGAAGGTGCAACTGTGTGCTGTGCATTTAACAATGTGCAGTTTGGTCTTGTTCTGGAGACCAATGTAAAACTTTCACCACCCTGGACCGCTCAGCAGAAAGACCCTTCACACTTCCTACCTCACACCAAATGTCACTGAATTTCTTCCCCACTTTTCAAGGCAATTTCTTTTTGCCATCCCCTTCCAGAATGAGAACAGTCAGATTCTATTGGCCTGTCCCTTAGTCTAAAGTCCACCTCCTTGGAACTTAGCCTTCAACCTTTCAGCCCCAACTGCTCCCTCTGCAGCTCAAGGGAACTCCAAAGCTCACACAATCCCTGCTGGGCTAGAGAGAAAGCCAGGAGGGAGAAGGGCAAGCTTGCTGGAGGACTCAGAGAGGGACAGAAGGACATTGGGGTGACGCACATCTGCGAGAGAAAGCAGGCAGGGCTGATCTGAAAGTCCTCACAGTGGAATGTTTGTCATTTTTCGGTGGGAAGCAAAATCCATTCCAAAGATAGCAAAGGGAGCTAGGTTCCCCAGATGGGGGTGGGCTTTTGAGTGGGGGGGTACAACTTTGCTTACAATAATGTGAGGTGATGCATAAGGCCCCCCCATTATTATCCCCCTTTTAAAACTCCTGTAAAGGTCAGTTCTTCAGCTGCTAGAAAGCCCAGAGGTTCTGCAGCAATGGCAGCTGAGGACACACAAGTCTCTTTTCAGAGGCAGCAGGTGATGCTTCCTGTGTTTCTTGGGGCAACCTGTCCACAGCCTGAACGAAGCAGCCAGGATCGCTATGCCTTCAGAACTGGCTGGACACCCCCCCCCCATACACACAAATACACATGTACCCTCTGCCCCCACCTTTTCTAAAAAGAGAAGACCCAATCCCTGAACACTCAAGGAGAGTAAGAGGAGGAGTTCAGGGGAAGGGACTCTCCCTTCCTCAGCTTATCTGAGTGGATCAGAGGAGGGGGGGGAACAAGCAGGGGGTTGTGTGTGAGAGCCATGTGTGCTCAGGGAGTGTGTGTCAGTGTTAAGGGTGTGTGGCTCAACCCACTCCTGGAATGCATCCCCGACAGCTTTGCACAGAGGGAATGGCACCTGCAGCCAGAAGGCTCTGCTGCCATGTAAGGGAGCCCAGCGAGGGAGGGGGAGCTGCCATTTTCTTCTTTTCTCTCCCTGAAACTCCCCCAGAGGCCTGGAAAGCACTACAAGCCTCCCTTAGCCTGAGCTCTTAATGAGTGAAGATATAAGCTGCAACATGTATTAAAGTGTGATATACTACTGACTCTTGGGTCAGTGTTGTCCCCACCTTGTAAGGCAGGGGTGGGAAGCCACTGCACCACAGGACACATGCCAGGGCCTTGCACATTTGACCTGCAAGGCCATTTCCCCCAAGCCATGCCTACCTGCCCATCAGATGTGGTGGGGGTAGAGACAAGAATTGAGAGCGTTCAAGCGTGCTCTCGGTTGTGCATTGGCAAGGTGCAGCAGGAGCTACACAGCTGGAGTCATCCGTGAAGAGCTAACTTGGGCAACTGATGCAGATGGGAAGCAGGCTTTGGCTTTACCACTTACCAGCTGATGGGCAGTACCTCAAATGCTTTAAAGGGCTGTTTGCAAGTCCTACATGATGCTGTGAAGTCCCAACTTTGGGACTTCAAAGCACCCAAACACCAGATGTCATTATGATGCCAAGTCCATAGAGACTGGTCCATTAGGGCAGGTAGGGCACTGCCCACCCTAAACCCCCCAATCCACCTAAGCTAGAGCCCATTTCTTTCTCTGTTCCTTACATGCATATCCAATATCTTACATTAAGAGATGCTCTGGACTTGTTTCTGACTGTCTCCTGGGCTGGCCACTCATCTCTGGACAGCACACACAACCACAACCATGTCTATGTCCCATCCCTGTTTCCAGGGTTGAAAACAACATTCTAGCATATTTCATTAGGAGTGGCTTAGGAAGGGCAGGGGACCCTCCTGAGCCTCTATTTTGATTAAATTTCTTGGAGAAAATTTGAAATATGAATGCAATAAACAAACAAGCAAGCAAATCTCAATTAGCTGCTAAGTATTAATAAGTGTCTTCTGTTTCTTTGCAAATGGCGAGGATAGAGAAAGAATCAGAAAAGATGTAGAGAAGCAGCACTTTTCAGTTTAGTTAGCTGTTATTTGTAAAACTAAAGTGCTTAAGTATCCACAATATGTTTGCAAGGGTGGAAGGCAGGGAGAGAACCACAACTTGGCCTCTTCTTTGGGGTCTCATGCTGAAGAGGCTTTCGGGTAGCTCAGCTGCTTCTGCCGCACTAGATGGGTGTGTTTATGTGTTTTTTAAACTAAGGGGCTGCTGCTGTTGCTGCTGTTGCTACTACTGTTAATTTTAGAAATCTCCTTTCTGCCACTTTACATATCATAGATACCTGATCAGTTTTATATCTTAGTGCTTTCCCCAACCCCTGGCACTCTAATCATGACCCAGAAAGCAAAGCAGAGTTTACAGCTTAAGATCTATTCTCAAAATTGTGAGTTGTCTAGCCAATGTTTGCTTGTGCTTCTCTCCTCCAGGGAGAGCTGTGGAGAGAGAGTCAGCCAGGCAGAAAGACATAAAATTAATAGTAATTATGATTCATCTTTATGCAGCCATTTTAGAAACTGGATTAAGAGTCTGTAAGGATGGGGAAGCCCACATATCTGATGGTGATGCTTGATGGTAAAGTAAAAGTAGCTGAAATCCTGGCGGGAAGTCTCCCTTGCCTGTGGCTCTGTCTTCAAGACATCCTTAACGTTTCTCAGCTAGATACGTTCTGTTCATGCTGACAGACTCCTAATCCAGTTTCTAAAATGGCTGAATAAAGATGAATCACTCACTTAAAAATTTTAGTCTGCAGTTTTTGTTACCGTATTTTTCACACCATAGGACGCACTTTTTTCCCTCCAAAAATGAAGGGGAAATGTGTGTGCGTCCTATGGGGCGAATGCAGGCTTTCGCTGAAGCCTGGAGAGCGAGAGGGGTTGGTGCGCACTGACCCCTCTTGCTCTCTAGGCTTCGCGCAGATCTCCGCAAGCCATGGGAGCCCGCGCCAGGCTCCCATGCCTTGCGGAGAGTTGCCTGCATGCCGAAGGCTGGGCGCGCTGAGCTCAGCGCGCCCAGGCTTCGTGCAGCTCTTCACAAGGCGCGGGAGCCCGGCGCGGGCTCCCATGGCTTGCGGAGAATTGCCTGTTCTGGAAGCTCGGGCTTCCCCCGCCCCAACCCCACGCCTGGGGGGGGGAAGTAAATTTTTTCCCCTTTATTTCCCCCCAAAAAACTAGGTGTGCCTTATGGGACGGTGCATCCTATAGGACGAAAAATACGGTAATTGCATCTATGTTCTTATCATTTCTGTTTTCTTATGCACATGACTTTGAAACCATGTGCATCACATTTGAGAAACATAAACATTGTAGCAGGGGTAATAACAGCAGCAGCAACAACCTGGAAGCGGAGCCGTCCCTGCAGCAGGCCCACTTTCTAGAGCAGGGGTAGGCAACCTAAGGCCCATGGGCCATAAGCGGCCTACGGGGGTCATTTAACTGGCCCACGAGCCGCCCCTGAACCAAGCCACCTGCTCGGTGAGTCCCCACGCGCTGCGCTAAACTGGCACAGGGACTCGCTTCTGCAGCGCCAGAAATCGTGTCTGTGTAGACGCAGATGCTGGTAATCGCGCACACATGCACAATCCAGCCCACAGAGGGATCTCCTCTGGAGTGAACTGGCCCAGGCGAGGTAAACCTTGCCAACCCCTGTTCTAGAGCACCCACTTCAACTAGGCGGTTGCCATATAAGCACCATCATATGTCACAAATATACTGACTGCTGCAAATCTCTGCAGGCAGCAAGCTTCTGCTCAGCACATGGCACACCGTCCCTTGTCTAGAGCCATTTGTTCTAGCTTGTCTGACAAAAATCCACAATCAAGAAAAGGAGGGAAACGGATACCTGGGAGACCACTTACAAATCCAGAAGAGAAAGTGACAGAATACCACTTGTTATCTACAGCAAACACCAGAGCCAGAGCTATGGGGGAGCAAGGGAGCAGGGAGAGGGAACAGAGGGTTTTTTTGCCTCCGGTACGTGGGTGAGGCTGTGGTTTAAACCACAGACCCTAGAGCTTGCCGATCAGAAGGTTGATGGTTTGAATCCCCACGATAGGGTGAGCTCCCGTTGCTCGGTCCCAGCTCCTGCCAACCTAGCAGTTCGAAAGCATGTGAAAGTGCAAGTAGATAAATAGGAAGGTAAATGGCTTTTCCGTGCGCTGCTCTGGTTTGCCAGAAGCGGCTTTGTCATGCTGGCCACATGACCCAGAAAAACTGTCTGCGGACAAACGCCAGCTCCCTCAGCCTATAAAGCGCCACAACCCTAGAGTCATCCGCGACTGGACCTAATGGTCAGGGGTCCCTTTACCTTTACCTAACGCCTCTAGAAGGGGCTCCACTGAGGCTCCCAGCCTGTGTGTGTACACAAATGCACACAGGGGTTGCCAAACTGCGTCTTTGACTCAGGTGAAATGAAACCTAGATTCACCCCTGCCTGTGACAACACCATATGATCAGTGACATACACCCCATTCAGTGTGACAACATTTATTTCACATAGGCAGAGCCTCCAACATTTCTCTGATGAAAATAGAAACATCCAATTCCATAATGATGATTTTACTTTTTATACCCCACACATCTTACTGGGTTACCCCAGCTACTCTGAGCAGCTTCCAACATACATAAAAACATAATAAAACATTAAACATTTTTTTTAAAATCCCTTTACAGGATTGCCTTCAGAGGGACCGGGGGTTGGATAAATCCATACCCTCCAACGTTTCTCCAGTGAAAATAGGGACGACCTAAGGAAAAGCAGGAGGGCTTCTGTAAATCAGTGGTGTCCCTGGGGCACTTGGAGGGTCTGCCGAGGCCCTCGGTCATATGCTTGCCCTGGCTTACAGAGAGACCTGAAATCAAAACTTGCTCTTTAGGTGCAACAACAGGCAACTGAAGCAGAGTCTCAAATACAGACCCTGTAAGTAAGATGCACCCAAACACTACGCAATTACAAGGCCAAATAGCAGAGCATGAACTTCAGGCTTGGTAGTAACGTAAATCCTAGGAACTGCTCTGCCTAGGGATGTTCAGCTGGCGCCTTCATTATACATCTTTAGGTGCCAGGCGAAAAAGTTTCTCTGCAGCCAGGCTGATAAATATTCGACAGCCATTTAAATGTTTTTGTGGCACGAGGTGGGTGTTGTTTTTGTTTTAACTATTTATTTTGTGCTTTCATCCTGTACTTTTATCTTGTGAACCACCCTGAGATCTTCAGATGGAGGGTGATATAATGAATGAATGAATGAACGAACGAACGAAAGAATTTATGTTCTAACAATCCGGAGAACAGTAACGATCTCTTAGCTGTAATAGATGAACTAGCAAAAACGACTTAAGAGGCAGAACAGAACAAAAGCAATTTTTAACACATTTGTTTATTTATCAAAGTATTTCTATTACTGCCATATTATGAAGTTATCAGGGTAGTGCACAGCATCAAAATATTAAACACCATTTAAGAATAAAAATACAGTTAATAATTACTGTGACTGGCTAATCAACAACAACAACAAAAACTTAAACAGCTGTAAAGGTCAGTCCACATTTGCAGGAGAAAGGTCCCTTTCTTGGGCAAATAACAGGCACCCACAGACTGAGATCCAGGCAGCACATCAGCTGGTGCCTCAGGGAAGCCTCCTTGCTCCTAAGTCAGGGCTCAGCAAAGCCGTCAGACCAGTGCAGGAGACTCAGACGGGCGTGGCTGAATTTGCAGAAGGGGTTTAGGAGCCTCTGATCCCCTTAATAGGGAGCATGAATGCCTCCGGCTTCTTTCCCCTATGTTTGGGTATTTTCAAGTTGCTCTGGGAATGCCTCTTCATTTCTTACGTTACCTCGATCACAAAGGGTTCTTTAGTCTAAAGCTGAGCAATATTCCAATTCTTTGTCTGAAACCAGTATGAAGTTCAGATCGTGATACCAGTTTCAGACTTCTTGAGCTGGCAATATTGCTTTATTTGATTTAAGCTGTTTATTTTAAAGTTATTGTGACTTTTTGTGTTGGATCAGAATGTTATTATGTGTGTGATCTTTGCTCTCTATTTTCTTGTTTCTTCAACTTGTAAACCACCTTGAGAATACTAATATAGAAAGGTGGTATACAAATTAAAAGTGAAAATGCAATTATTTGATCCCAGAATGTCCCTATATCCCCTGCCAGTGCTTTTTGTAAATCTACCAAAGAATAAAATGAAATCAGGATTCAGGGACTTTCTCAGGACAGTGGAAGCTGTGTGCTCTGTCCCATTGGGGTGGGGGTGGTGGAAATGCTCTGCAGCAGGGGGATGGACAAAAAAATGGTGGGTCAAGGAGGGTCAGCTGGCAGGGAGTGAGAAATGTCCCTATTTTCATCTGAGGAATGCTAGAGGGTATGCATTCAGCACAGGCTCTGAAGACCCGTCCAAAACGGTTACCATGCCAAAAGGCTGCACTGGCCTGAATACCTGGTCACAACATCTATTTAACCCAATGCCTAAACAGACAACATGCCAACTGAGTAAGAGTCCACAGCTGGCAGCCCCTGATCCACATTTGCTTCCCTAATAGGGTGGGGGAGCTCTGGTCCATCAGTTGCCAGTCTCTGGGAGAAGTGGGAGCTGCAGAAGTGGGACTGTAGGGGTGTAGCACATGGGCACGGTGGGGGGGGGAGCAGGGGAGGCAGCTGCCTCCCCAATAAAGTAAATAAATAGAAATACTTACTGTATTTTTTACTCTATAAGACTCACTTTTCCCCTCCTAAAAAGTAAGGGGAAATGTGTGTGCATCTTATGGAGCAAATGCAGACTGCGCAGCTATCCCAGAAGCCAGAACAGCAAGAGGGATTGCTGCTTTCACTGCGCAGCGATCCCTCTTGCTGTTCTGGCTTCTGAGATTCAGAATATTTTTTTTCTTGTTTTCCTCCTCCAAAAACTAGGTGCGTCTCGTGGTCTGGTGCGCCTTATAGAGCGAAAAATACGGTAATTAACTGACCATTTGCATTGCAGATAACTCAGTTCTGCCTCCCCCTAACAAAAAGCCTGCCCCCCCAAAATAAATGCTGACTATGCCCATCCTGTAGCAAGTACTAGAGATTTTCATGAATGCCTCTGTTTGACTACTCATGAGTAGATGCAGGCTAAGAAGGACCCTACTCCTGGGTTACAAACACGGCCTGCTCAACTTATAGCACTTCCTCCTTCTTATGGTTTGTGTTCATATAGAAAACCAGGATAGCAAGTCACAAACTTCTTTCTGGCATGCTTGAATTAATTACCAGTTGCTTCTGAAACACAGCTGGCCCAAGAAATTTTGGCACCTGAGGTGAACCACCAAATGGTGCCCACCCCATCCCCCCAGCAAGGGAATAAGGGGTGAGTGAAGATCTACATCAGGAACAAGGGAGGAAGAAAAATCTACGTTGAGAACAGGGTAGGAATCAAATCAACCTGACTTGACGACTGAACTGAGAATCCAAAGGGGCCCTCTCTGAATTATGCTGGGCAGGTGCAGAGCCCAGGAGACCCCAGAGGGCAGCCCCTGCCTTCTCCTGCCTAGTGGTGGAAGGAGCTCAGCGCCCCTGATTCACCAAGAGGCCATGGTATAGGTGGTATGGGGGGGGGGGCTGCTGAGGAGGAGGAGGGGCTGTAGTCATTGCTGCCACTGCAGCAGCAGCAGGAGGAGCAGGTGATGCTTCCCTTGGTGGCCAGATCTGCTGCTCCTGTGGATCCTGCCCCCTCAGGCAGTTGCCTCCCCTTGCCTCCTGGGTGGGTCGGCCCTGCTCAGAAGGCATCTCAACCTTGTGAGCCGCTTCTGTATGTTTCTACCATTGCTCTCTTTTAATGTTCTGTTTGTCTACAAAACAACAGGAATGAGAAAGAGAAATTCTGCATTTTCCTCTTTTTTACAGTTCATATTTCTACAAGGCATTTTAACTTCATTAAAAACTCAAAAGTCTAACCCAAGTAATAGAAACTGCTGGCTGTCCGGCACCTCTAGAAATAACATTAATATTAGCAGATAAACTGGTTTAGCACTTAAAGTAACCCCCCAAAGTGTTTCAGAAAGGGAGCGCAGCAGTCAAGATCAGGAAAATAGGGGAGGTAACTGTAGATACATTTTCGAGAAAGAGAGATGGAGTCAAGAGACTCTGTTTCCTTTAAATTAAGAGGAATGTCTTATGGTGAAACTGATGCTTGACAAAATGCTGGGAAGGAAGAGAAGGAATCATTACAGAAATTGACATACACCTGTGAAAAACAACTCTAGTGCAGCGATGTTTCAGACGGAGGACGGGGACCAGAGGCCACAAGCTTTTCGTGCTGCCCCCGGACCTCCTGACCCCGGCCTTACTTTGTTTAGCAGGGGAGCCGGGCACACTGCCCGGAACACAGCTGACAGCAAAAGCCACCGTTTGTTTGTTTTCCCCTATAAAAGCACCCCAAATCGGCATCTTTATATCTAAATTAGCATATGCCTGTCTTATGCAAATTTCTGTCCTGGGCAGGAGCCCTGAGTGTTTCAGGTGCCTAGCAATGTCCCCGTGTTAGTGCTGCGCGTTACGGTTACCGGTATGTTGTATGCAGCAGGATATGAGTGTATTTCTAGTTTTAGCAGTATGTAATGAAACAGTGTAATTATTAAAATTAAAAACAGTATCGGTTTTTAAGAGAGAACTTCACGTCTATGAACGTACAACTTCTTTGCTACTTCTGCGAAAACTAAAGTAGGTCCATATACAGTATTCTGCCGGAAACAACCCTACACAGAAACTAAAGAGCACACATTTCGAGCGCCATGCTTGCTCATATTCACAGCTCCTTTCCAGCTCTGAGTTGCTTTTTCTCCTGAATTACTCTTTTCTCGAATTATTCCACGGCGAATGAGCCACTGCTTGCCAAACAAACCTCGCTTGGGGTCTTTCATTCTGAACTGCTGCCGCCAGCTTTTCCTCCTCCTAATACGAATGGAAAGGTAGTCCGGAACCTGCTTCTGACCTGGTTCTGGAAGCAAACTCCGGGTGCTCGGCAGCACCTCTCCAAAGGGACCTCGGGCCCCCAGGTGCTCGGCTCCCCGGCCTTTCCCTTGTTCTCCCCCTCTAAGAGGGCGCACCTGGAGATGTCAAAGGTCCCGGTGGCTCCGTGGAAAAGCAGCCCCCCCACCCCCACCCTCGCTCTGCCAGCCTCCTCCTCCCGCGGCTTTGTTCGCCCCGGAGAGAAGACGGGGCTCCCTTTTCCTTTTTTACCTTTCACGATTCCTCTCGGCGGAGCTGCGCGCAGCCCAGGAAGCCTCGCCGGAGCCCCCCGGCCGGAGGGCGAGCGCGCATCCCAGAGAGAGCGTCGGGGCAGCAAGGAAAGCGGGAGCGCGGCCGAGGAGAGCCTGCGAGGTGGGTGGGTGCTCGGCTCGGGAGGGCAGCAACAGGAAATGACATGGAAAACTTCGCCAGCCTCGTCTAAGCTAAACTTGGCCCGGCATGTCGGGGGGGGGGTCCCCCTTCTGCGTTAACCAGGTCAAAAAAAAAGATCTGAAAGGAGCCCAGCCAGCCGCGTTGAGAGAGGAATGAATGAGCCGAGGGAGAAAAGAGGAGACTCCGCGCGACCCCGGCCCAGCCCAACGCCAAGGGACACCCCCTTTCCCGCTCAGCAAAAGAAAAGTTTGCCATCGCCGCCCCGCCACTCACCCCACTCGCGCCCCCAGCCCACCCCGTGTCATCCCCGCAGCAGGAGGAGCCCCCGGGCGCTTCCCCGGAGACGCGCGCCCTCGGCAGCCCCGCCGAGAGCGCGCCCTTGCTCCCTCGCTTGCCAGACGTGGGTGCCCCAGACACCGGACTTTCATCTCCGACGCTTTTGTAATCTAAAACAAACAAAAAATAGCAAGCTGTATTTTTAAAATTCTACTTGTGACAAAGAATTGACTTGTGGAAGTTTGCAGGAAACTGAGAAACTCTCTCTGGCGCGCCATGAACGGATCAGAGATATTGGTGCACCATTTCAAAGCTGCTACAGAAAATTGAATGTGCTCACACTCCTTCCAACCCCAAATACGTACTGTGTGCCCTATCTAAACACTGCTGCGTTTTGATGCAAATTTTAGTCCCTTGAGCCCCACACTGGGCAAAAGCATGGCCGGGGGTTGGACTAGACCCTTGTTATCCCTTAAAACTTTCCAGTTCAAACGAATTTAGGGCAGAATTCTAAGTATGTGTGCGTGCGTGCGTGCGTGCGTAATAATAATAATAATAATAATAATAATAATAATCTGCCACTGCCATGGAAAATATGCAAAAGCAACCTTTGGCTGTGCTGTCAGAGCAGTCTGGCCCTGCATCTTCTACGCCAACAAAGCGCCATCTGCAGAGCAGGCGAAATGGGGCAGAGTTGTGGGTGAGATATGGAAAGGAGGGAGACTTACACCATAGCTCTATACTTCTCCCGAAGGTGAGGCCAGCAGAGCCACAGAGCAGCCTCGGGAGGCCACAGAAGAGGACTCGCCATCATCGCCCGCCCAGCATTTCCCTGCTACTGCTGCTGCTGCTGCTGCCGCCTCCTCTGCAAACCATCTAGCCTGGGGAGATGCTCTGAGCATCTCGGAGTGCAATGAGACCAGCACCAGAAACGTCGTCTATTGCTTTTTGCTCTGTACTTACGTACTTAAGTCTAAATTATTTGTTTTGTATTGCTGAAATTATTCCATTTGCTGAATTGTTGATTTTGTCCTAGATACACAACTAATCATCTTCTTTTAGCAATTCAAGCAATTATACTCCTTGGTGCCATTTTCACACTTGTAAAAATAAACTGGTTTATTTTTAATCCAAATTGGGATTCAGTGGCTCTTGCTATGGCTTTGCTCTGGGCACAGATCTATGACTAGGAATGGAGGAATCTGTCAGTTTTGGATTCTTACAGTTTTTGGTTTTCCAACTGTAATCTCAGTTTGCCCCATTTCTGCATCCCTTTCTCCTTATAACTTCCACATTTCTCCTTATAAATGAATGTTTATGCACAATTTTGCATAATGCTGTCATTTCTGCAAGTAGTTTCCTCCAATGCTGTGTAGTTTTGTACAGTGGTACCTTGGGTTACATACTCTTCAGGTTACAGACACTTCAGGTTACGGACTCTGCTAACCCAGAAATAGTACCTCGGGTTAAGAACTTTGCTTCAGGATGAGAACAGAAATCGTGCTCCGGCGGCAGCGGGAGGCCCCATTAGCTGAAGTGGTGCATCAGGTTAAGAACAGTTTCAGGTTAAGAACGGACCGCCGGAATGAATTCAGTACTTAATCCGAGGTACCACTGTACTTTATGTTCACCACTTCTGTACACACTTGGGTGGGAGAACTGCACCACAACATTCAGAAGAGTGCAAACTTCAAAGGTTAACTGTGTTTCAGTTCTTTTGCTATTTTGTGAAGTGTGAATTAGGTAGATTTGCATTAAAATGCAAACTGAATGAATTTCACCCCCAACCCTGCCCTTGACACAAATTGTGAGGAATAACATCCGCGCCATGGAAGATGGAGAGGCTTTCTACAGCCTGACATTATTGCCTACATATGTTTACAGCATAGCACTAAGGCGCTGACACTTTTCCTTAGCCCTTCAGCCCTAAACCTGTTTCTTTGCAGGTTGAGCACCTATTGAAGCTTGGATCAGTGCTATAGGAATGTTTAATAAAACATATGCTTTTAAATCCTATTCTCTGAATTCTAATAATCCACCTCTTGCATAGTTTAGGTTAGGCAGCGAAGCACAATCCTATGAATATTTTACAATTTGCTCTACTGTGGTTATGAATTCTAAACCTTCAGTTCTAACAATTAATTATTGCAAACTTTAAACTGCTAAATGCAATCCTGTACAGTTTTAACCAAAATGTGAAACCAATACAGGAAATATTCAAATTTATCAGAACTAGATCTGACCCAAGACTTAACACGAGATGCTACTAGTCTAGACTCCAATGTGCCACAGAACTCTGGCTCCATGTTCCATAATGTTCCAAGTGTTATTGAGCATTTGATTGTGTTAAGTGACACACCAAAGTACCCAGTATCCAGTGTATAGTGGTACCTTGGTTTACAACCATAATCTGCTCCGGAGGTCCATTTGTAAACCAAAACAGGTTGTAACCCAAGGCACGCTTTCGCCAATGGGGCCTCCAAAAAACATTTATTCGTAATAAAAAAGGGGGGGTTGTAATCCAAAAAAAGGTGGCAAACCGGGACACACACTTCCGAGTTTGATGTGTTTGTAATCCAAGACGTATGCAAACCAAGACGTATGCAAACCAAGGTACCACTGTACTTTAATGCAAGTGTTGCATGCCACCCCCCTCTCTAAGCAGTGCGAGATTCCAGGGGTTTGAGGCATTTCCCAGGAATCTTTATCTGGTTTATTTACACATATATGCAACTTGAGGCTATGATGGAGGGGCCCACAGCACTGACACCCCAGGAGGTTTTGCTTCTCCCAGAGTCCCAGCCTTGGATTTCAGCAGAAATCAAGCATGGCCATCATAGCCTCTCTGGCTTCTTAGCCCAGCTCACACAACACCATCCTGCTATTGTCTTTCTTGAGGGAGGGCACCCATCCATTTGCCCTCTGGTACAGAGCAACTTCTTTGCTTATACCATTATGGCTCTTGCCTGGCTACTTGAACCATGGGGTCCTCCCTTGGATTTTAACCCTTCCTGGGTCTACTTATGGCTTACTTCCAGTGGGCTTCTCTCTCTCTCTCTCTCTCTCTCTCTCTCTTTCTCGAGTGAATAGGAGGCTACATGAGTTGCTTAAACTAATGCATTACTCCTAACAAAATGTAATCTGCCTATAACCCTACCTGTCTCTACTGAAAGGAGAGCCGATGGGGCATTGAAACCAGGTGTGCACCAAGTTTCTGTTCAAACCTTAATTAAGTGATTTGGAAAACAGCCTAATTTGGTTGTTTAGAGGCATCTTGATTTGGCTTGGAGTCAAAATCCTAATTTAGAAAAACAGAAGCTTCATGCATCCCCATTCACTGTTACAAGAAAATCTGAGAGCAGCTTTTCCTCTTTATGTCAGAATTGGATGGAATTTGCAGGTGTGGTAAAATGCAGCCAAACTGAATACCAATAGGTCCAGGATGTTTGCACCAGGCACCTTTAAAAACCGAGCTGCTTTTTTAAAGAACCATCTATTATTTTCATTTGCTGGTAGTTGGTTGGTTAGGTTGGTATCTGTCTGTTTTGGGAGACAGTGGAGGAGTGTGCCTTTGGGGGTGAGGTCAAGCTGTTAGATGGTTGCAGCTCCTGCTGTGGCTCTAGAGACCAATAAGGGAGAGACATGTTTTGTTGCAGCTGGGGCAAAGGAAAGTGCCTGGTTGTGCTGAGACCTTGTATGGCATGACTGATGGGACCATAGGCTCCCTTCAGAAGTTTACCTAACCAATCTTTTATGTAATTAATTTAAAAAAACCCTGTCAGATTTAGTCTTCAAATATTAGCTACAATCAAGCCAAAGTGTTCTTGTCTATCTTTGTATGAAGGGAGTTACCCGGGGGTGGGGGGGTGGGGAAGAGCCCCTCAAACAAGCACAAGCTTTCTGTTTATTTGCATTTGGCAAGACAGAGTTACATGCATTAACTCAGTCACTCCACTGATCCTAAGCTCTATTCTGCAAGCCTAAAAAAGACTTGTAAGACACAAAGCACTTTTTAAAAGTCCACATTAATCAAACAGAAAATGAACAGCAAGCTTTCAAGCGATTCTGCCTGTTGTGCAAAGTATTGCCAGAAATACATTTTACCACCCTAGCCAGCCAGCCAAGCCTGAGGAAGGGTCCTTTCCCCTCAGCTCCCAGGGCCATTTTCTGCATGCAATCTACACACATTTGCAACATAACCTGGTTTTTTAAAAAAAGGATCTTCCTAAATCTCCTCTGTAAAATTGTATAATAAGATAAACCCCTGTATGTTTCAATACTCAGTCTTTTGTTGTTTTCTAAATGTTTCCCTGCACCTTTATCTTCCCTAATTGTCAGATTAGGAGTGAGATCCAACGCTCCCCTTTCATAGTGGCCATATAAAATGAGTAGCATCATGAAGTGCAGTGCTCAAGTGAACAAAACCGTTTTTGACTTCCAGTTCACTTCCTTCCATGTTTCCTAACGCCACAAGACAGTATGATGTCAAAAACTGAATAAAAGGAAACGGAAGGAGGTAAATGTGTCACTTTTGCTTAACGGTTGTGCTAATAGATGTTGCCAAGCTCAGTAAGAACCAGATAAACCCAAAGGCCCTCTTATAAGGTAAGTGGGTGCACTAAGTCATTGGGTGCCTACAGGCTTCCTTTTCCAAAGCCACAGCCCCTTCTACAACCTGTGAGCTGTACTCACCTTGTCAATTGGCTTTTAGTAGCAAGTTTATAGACAATATATGAATCATGAGTAGGTAGCTAAGCTCAGCTTTTCAGTTCTGAGGTTGCTCTTGCTTACACACACACAGACACACACAGAGAGAGAGAGAGAGAGAGAGAGAGAGAGAGAGAGAGAGAGAGAGAGAGAGAGAGAGGTTTTCAAGCAACATTTCATGCAGGTCCAGGCATATGTTCCATAAAGTCCAAAATTCAGGGGCATCCTTTCCCTGACCTGATGGCTTAAACTTAGCACAATAATTTTCAAGCATTTATTTTGGAAAGGTTAATAGGATTTTCTCCTTTAAAACACTCTAGCTGCTAGGGTTAAGTCCTCTTTTTAAACACCCAACAATTGAGCTAACTAGAGCTCTCCTTTAGAAGGGAGTTGAGGACCTGTTGCTTTTTTGTTTCTTCCATT